GGACGATTCTCTCGACGCCTTGTCGGGGGCGAAGTTCTTTTCAACGCTTGATCTCTCTTCGGGCTTCTGGCAGCTCCCCCTTGACGAGCCCTCATGAGAAAAGACTGCTTTCCGTACGCCGCAGGGGTTATTCCAATTTAACTGTCTTCCGATGGGGTTGAATGCGGCCCCTGCCACTTTTCAGAGGTTGATGGAGTTGGTATTAACGGGGTTGCAGTGGGAGACATGTCTGATATATTTAGACGATATTATCGTCTTCAGCCGCACATTTTATGAGCATTTACTGCGGTTGGAGGCTGTATTCACCAGGATGCGTTCTGCTAATTTGAAATTCAAGCCAAAAAAATGTCACCTACTGCAACACTCCGTTCGATACTTGGGGCACATTGTTAGTGCGGACGGGGTGGCCACAGATCCGGAGAAAACAGCGTGTGTCCGTGATTGGCCAACCCCGGCCACGGTGGGTGATGTGCGTCGGTTTTTGGGGTTCGCCTCTTATTATCGGAGGTTTGTTCCAAATTTTGCTACGATCGCGAGGCCTTTGCATCTCCTTACGGGGAAAGGACACAAATTTGCTTGGGGACCGCCGGAGGAGGCGGCGTTTCGAAGCCTGCGCGATCTATTGGCTACGGCACCGACGTTGGATTATCCGGATTTTGAACATCCCTTCATTCTGGATACGGATGCGAGTGACACTGGCATTGGGGCGGTGTTGTCTCAGTCAAAAGGTGGGGTTGAACGCGTGGTGGCGTATGGTAGTCGGGTTTTGTCTCCCGCGGAAACCCGCTACTGCGTCACTCGCAGGGAACTTTTGGCTATTGTTTTTTTTCTCCGCCAATTTCGACCGTATCTGTACGGTCGGTCGTTTATTGTCCGCACGGACTATGCGGCCTTGCAGTATGCTCTTAAGATAGACCAACCATCTGGCCAATTGGCAAGGTGGCTGGACACGCTGCAAGAATTTTCCTTCCAAATTCACCATCGGAAGGGTGTGCGTCACGCTAATGCGGACGCGCTTTCCAGGTTGCCGCAGCGATCCCCATGCGTGTGTGCGTCGGGGACGCATAGGTGTGGACCGATTCAGCACCCCCCTCAGCCTGTCGCGCTGGCAGTTGAAGTGCCTGGAGCTCCGCTTAAGCCGGGACCAGTTGATGGGGGACCGGCTGATGGGATTTTGCGTCTCCCGAGGTCTGTGTGGATTCGGGAGCAAATGTTGGACGATTCCTTGGTAACGTTACGTAAGCGACCGGGGAAGGCAAGTAGGGGACTCGGTGCGGGGGGTGTGCCGGAAACCGCTCTCCGAGATGGGTTGCTGATGTGGAGGGAAGGGATACAGGAACGCTGGCGTCTTGTTGTACCGGCATCATTGCGGTACGAATTGATTAGGACTCTGCATTGTGACACACTTTTACATCTGGGGGTGCAGAAGACCCTATTGACGCTGCAGCGAGATTACTATTGGCACGGCATGACGACAGATGTCGTCGGTCACGTTCGCGCGTGTCCCGATTGTGCCCGCCGGAAGCCACCTAAACATCCATATGTGCCGCCGATACAATCTATTCAGGTATCTCGAGTTAATGAATTGGTGGCGTTAGATATTTTAGGACCCTTTCCGCCATCCGCTAGGGGAAATAAGTATTTGCTAGTGGGGGTGGAGTACCTCTCCCGCTGGCCGATGGCGTGGCCCTTGCCCGACCAGTCAGCGGCGTCCATTACAGACGCTTTTTTTATTTGGGTACGTTATGGACAAGGGGGCGCCGGAGAGGCTTCTCACGGATCAAGGCCGAAATTTCTCTTCGAAATTACTTGGGGAAGTGTGTGCGGCTCTCGGAACTAAGAAGATACGGACATCCCCCTACCACCCACAAACGGATGGTATGGTGGAACGGTTAAATCGGACCCTGTCCGCCATGCTGTGTCACACGGTCAGTGAAAAACAATCAGATTGGGATTTGCATATCCCTGGGGTGCTTTCGGCGTATCGCATGACGCCGCACGCGGCTACTGGATATTCGCCGTTCTTTCTTATGTACGGCCGTGAAAACGTGCTGCCAATCAATGAGCAGTTGGGAACCGGAGCGAGGGGACCTGCTAAACCTCTTCCTGATTATATTCAGGACAACGTTCGCCGTGTCACTGAGGCGAGGGAAGGAGCCCGCATGGCTACGGCCAAAGCCCAGGCCCGGAACGAGCGGTGTGCTCGACGTTCAAAGGGGGAGTGCCCCTGGAAAACGGGGGACCTGGCCTGGCTTCATTGCCCACAGGTGCGGCCAGGTACCTCTCCTAAATTACATAAACCATGGCAAGGGCCGGTCCGCCTCATCGAGGTTCCCAACCCACAGTCGGCGCGTGTTCGGGTTGGATCGCGGCGTTGGTTCGTACACACATCTCGGTTGAAGCCATACGTTGCCCCGCGACCTGATGCGTCATCTCCTGAGGTTGCCTTGCCGGGGTCTGTTGCTGCCGACTCGCCCTTGCCTGTGCCTGCTGACCTTGCAAGAGCACCTGTCGTACCCCTTACAGACAAGCCGTCCGTGACGCCGCAGGAGGGAGGATGCTCCGCTCGCGGGGTGCCGACCAGGGCTGCGGAATCTCCGGGACCTGCAGCCCTTCCTACCCCGCCACGGACGCGATTACGGGACGCCTCTGAACGGGACCGGGACGGTGGCAGGCCTCCAATGGCGACGGACGAACTTGATCCTGTCGCCCTTAAAACCCTGCCACGTTCCCGCTCGGCGGGGGGGCCGCCGACCGTCCGGGACGGCCCGGCTACCCGCACTCGCTCGAAATCCCTCACATTTCGTTAACTTTGTGTTGTGTTCTTGTTTATATTGTTGTTGTATGCTTCGTGTCCTTTAACGTATTGGTCTTTTACACTCGCATTACTTGTTAAGTTGTTGTTCAGCCGAGGTCGGCTGGATTTTCTCTACGGGGGAGGGTGGTTTAATGCGGGCATAAACGACCTTCCGGATGTGACGTCATGAGGGGAGGAGTTACGTCACGTGGGGGAGAGGGGTCAGGTCTATAGGGAGAGAAACCGGAAGAGGAGGGGGAGTGATTGGAGACTAGGAACGAGTGAGGCCACGTAGGGCGGGAGTGGGAGAGTGGCGAGATCGCCACATACACGGGGAACGAGGTTCGGCACCGTCGGCCAACGGTGACCGACCCCGGAGCAGCAGGAGCAGCGAGGAGGCTGCAGGTGGCAGCGGGGGTCTGCACACGGAGTTGGCAGCGGGGGTCTGCACACGGAGTTAGCAGCGAGTCTGCAAGGAGAGGAAGGAGGCTACAATAGTGACAGCAGCCTGGGGCTGCAAGCAGAGGGTCTCTAAGAGAGTGCCGTGAGGGAAAAGACAAGAACCCAAATAAAGGACACGGAGTCAGAGAGAAGTGTCCGAGTCTTTTATTACAACTGTATATAAGTGCCGCCAGGTCGAGTATAAGACCAACCGCCACCACCGAGTGGCTCTATGGAGATAATCTCCTGCGCCGTGAAGCTGAAGGTTGAGGATTTTAATCCAGGACTCTCCATGTTTTATTTTCCGTTTATTCATGTCTACTTCATGCGGATGATCTCTATGCACATTTGTCCACGCGTAGTCTTGCTTCAAAACATCCTGAAGCAAAAATGAATGCTCGATACAACCACTTTTGAAAATGTTATTTTTTTATCCTTACCCGTGTATTTAGATAGTTCAATGTTAACACGCTATATGCTCAAGTAGTGCCACATCTTTCTGGTACCAATCTCTCATGTCATCGTCAAGCCATTCCTCTGTGAGGTCTTCCTCTCTTTCTAGTTCCTTCCATTTTTCCGAAAAACACACTTTTAACTTCCCTGTTTTCCTATAATGCTGTGTATTTTCATAACGTGAATCGAGTGAACGAAACTATGTCGCAGCGTGAGTAGGAATAAGTGGTCGTACAGCTGCCTCGGCGTAGTGTCACCGCACAAGACAGTGGGATAATGCTGGATGCTTCCAGACGCTACACACGCGCAGCCTCGGTCTTTGTTCAGCCTGTGTACGCATCATGTCACACGTTATCGTGGACTGTGCTTTACCCTCCCTTTCATTTTTATTATAACGCAATTTTAACATTACGCGGTGTTCTTCAGGAACGCAAATACCACCACGTTGCAGGACCACAGGCTGTATTTGATTACAGGTTATTAATCGCATGAGACAGTTAGACAGCGCATTGCTTTACAATTGTAATGAGAGAGCGCCATCCAGTGAGTGCCAGAGGGTAATTGGGTACAGGCACTCTTGTGTCATCGGCATCCAATCCGAAGAGGGGATAATATCTGGACCAAAGGTGACGGGTGGAGTTGACAGATATGCTTCTGGAACCATGGGGAAGGTTCCACGAGGGGGCGTGGCTAGAGGCGGAGCTTAGCTCCACCGGGGAGAATATTAGCAGGAGCAGGGGAGGGACTCGTGGTCGGTGTGGGAAGCCAGGGGTTCTTCTCCCTGGCACGCCGCCAGCCACCGGCGAGACCGGGAGAGCGGAGCAAACCTCGTGAGTGGGTCGAACTGTCGGAGAGAGACGCCTCGTCCACGGCATTGAGAGAGGGGAATTTACCGGTAGAGGGAAGGAGCAGAGCTGTGCAGTACTAGAGTAACAAAGAAGCACCATTTCAAGAATCGTCGTGGAAGTCGTTTATTACACAATAATTTGCGAAGTTGAATTGGCAAAATGTACGTGTCCACACTATTAAATCACGTGACGAAAAAGCAATTCCAATGAGTAATATTTTAATATTCATAATGCAGTCACTATTGTTAGACTTAGTAAAAGTATAACCCACTTTAGACATAAATGAAGATATATTTTTAATCATTGAATACGCACGAGTGATGAATTTTGGATAAAAAGTGCAGTTTTTGGTATTTTTAAGAAGCATTTTGGACCTTTTTTTAATGAAAGTTCCGATTGTGTACATTATGTCTGCGTGTTAAACACATTACGTCACTCAATATCCCGTGACATTTTCTGGGGGGGGGGGCGAGGTTGGGAAAAGTGACGTCACCATAATCACTAATGACGTCACTGTCTCTGAATCATTCCAAAAACATTTTTCAAAATTACATAAAACTCACGATTCCACTTTTCGGATGGTTTTGTTTTCAGAATAAACAAAAACATGCAAACACACCCCAAGTACGCACGTATGATTAAGCGTTCCTCTATAAATTTAAGGATTTCGACATCCAAACTCCCGTAGATGTGAAATAAAAAGTTACAACGCGTGATTATGTTCCCTTAAATGTTCAGCCACATACCAACTATATAAAATGGTACTACAGTACATTGATAATAATTAGTGATCACACATTTAACTACGACAGATGATTACATTCGTTCTTTGCACACTTAAGCATCTCATTGGTTCAGGTCCCTTTCACTGTTGGCCTCTGAAGGCTCTTGGAGTGTCCCTTCCAAGACAAGTGTGGCTCACAGAGATATGAAGAGGTACAAGATTAATGACCAGTAAGAAGAGGTTTGTACCCTATCAATAAAACAGGAGTTGTGTTAAGATGTTCAAACACCAAATAGATGCAGCTTTTGCAAGGCATCAAGTCTGCATTAACCACACATACTTGTGGCAAAATATGGAAAAAAACATGCTCTAATAATACAATGTCTTTGAAACTGATTGGCCTCACCATCAGTGTTAAACCAGAGAACGCCAAAAGGCAAACAGTACAAAAACAAGGCAAGTATCGGTTTTACTGGTAGGAACCTCCTGGTTACACCAACCCACAGGGGATTATTGTGCATGTCCGTCCGTCGTGCATCCAGAGAGGGGAGGGTGGGGAGGGGCTGGGTGGGGAAGGTGCAGCTGGGTGGGGAAGGTGGGGCTGGGTGGGGAAGGTGCAGCTGGGTGGGGAAGGTGGGGCTGGGTGGGGAGAAGCTGGTCACCCCGTGGTGCCCTTACAGTCGGCCATATTTGCAAAATACACCACGCCCTGGCCGTTGACCCTGGCCATTGACCGAGCAACCCAACGTTCCTACCAGCTCCCTCCGCAGGAATGTATTTACAAAAGAAAGTAGCAGTCCTGCGACGAACATTCCTGTCGATGACACAGTGGATGGGACGGTGCTGCTCCCCTACCGTATGGGACCTCAGGTGACTTTAAGGGGCTCTCAGAAGTAGTTCCGTGTTATCCCGCTTCTATAAAATTGGGGGAAAATATTTTATAAAATTGTTTCTAGTTGCGATATACGTTTAATTTCTCCAAAACACTGAACCCTTCACGCTAAACGCATTGCCTTTGGTGGGTTATTTCCTGCTTTAAGAATAAACACTTAATGATGATGGCTTCTCGGTATGGAAGACGTGAAAAGCCAAGGCGTCATCTCAAACACCGATACATGTACCGACATCTTGTTGTTCGGTCTTTTAATGCAACGGGATCTGGGGGGAAACACGGTCACCTCAGCTGAAATGATGGGCCACTACCGCCGAGAAAAGTAGCGCGACAATAACGGCAGCGACGTCTGGCAAACGCTTCCGGCCATTTCCTGTGGGCGCGCTCGCTCCTTGGCTTTCGTTGGTGGTGGCAGGCGTTGAGTGCGTTGCAGTGCTGCCCGCTGCGCTGCTCGTGTTAGAAGGTTTCTCCGTCTGAGCCGTTGTCGAGGCTTGCTTTGATGGAATATCGCTGTGCAATTGGGACGACGTTACCGCGCTCCTGGTGCTAGTTGTGGTGGCGGTTGTTGTTGTTGTGGTAGATGTCAGCGTTGAACGATTGGTCGATGTGGATGCTGCGGTATAGCTAGCACCATCGGGTTTCACCGTCTTCGTAGTAGGAGTCATTGTGGATGTTGCATTGGTCCGTGTGGACGATGTCGTATTACTGGTACTATTTGACATTGGCGAATTCATAGGTGTGGCAGTTGTTACATTTGATGGGATTGCATTGGTCTGTGTGGATGAAGTAATATTATTGGTTCTATTTGACATTGGTGAATTTATAGGTGTGGCAGATGTCACATTTGATGGGATTTTATTGGTCTGTGTGGACGATGTCGTATTACTGGTACTATTTGACATTGGCGAATTCATAGGTGTGGCGGTTGTTACATTTGATGGGATTACATTGGTCTGTGTTACTGATGTCGTATTACTGGTACTATTTGGCATTGGTGAATTCATAGGTGTGGCAGATGTCACATTTGATGGGATTTTATTGGTCTGTGTGGATGATGTCGTATTACTGGTACTATTTGACATTGGTGAATTCATAGGTGTGGCAGTTGTTACATTTGATGGGATTGCATTGGTCTGTGTGGTTGAAGTAATATTATTGGTTCTATTTGACATTGGTGAATTTATAGGTGTGGCAGATGTCACATTTGATGGGATTGCATTGGTCTGTGTGGACGATGTCGTATTACTGGTACTATTTGACATTGGTGAATTAATAGGTGTGGCAGATGTCACATTAGATGGGATTGCATTGGTCTGTGTGGCTGATGTCGTATTACTGGTACTATTTGACATTGGTGAAATCATAGGTGTGGTAGTTGTTACATTTGATGGGACTGCATTGGTCTGTGTGGATGAAGTAGTATTATTGGTACTATTTGGCATTGGTGAATTCATAGGTGTGGCAGATGTCACATTTGATGGGATTGCATTTGTCTGTGTGGGCAATGTCGTATTATTGGTACTATCTGGCTTTGGAGGGTTAATGTTCACGTTTGTGAAAATCCCCTTAAGTGGAGCTGTGGTGCTGCTGTATGTGGAGATTGTTGTGTTGACCGACGAGCTGCTAATCACCTGATTTGTTCTGGCTGTGGTCGAGCCTGGGGGATCACAGCTTTGGATGAGACAAATCTGTACGTGGAAGTCTGCGCTCCCTGGCTGGGAGAAATTGAACACCAAATGTCCAAGCTGTGTGTCGGATGAGCCTATGTAGGATGTTACCCAGGCATTTTCCTTCGGAAGGACACGAGCTCCGTGTGTGAAACTGATCACCGTTGCCTGGACATTTTTTTCTAACTGGGTGTCGTATCGCATGTAAACCCAGCCAGATTCGTTAGAATAGGTGGTCAGAAAAATATCCGTGGTAATGCCCACCGTGCGTGTCTGTCTCACGTCTATGACGTTCCCGATAGACGTTTCTGTGTAACTCAGGTCCTTGCTGTTGTACAATCTGTCTGGAAGGCCTCTGGAATCAAACTGGGCATCGACAAGAAAGTCCAGAAGGCCATCGTCCTCCACATCTGACAGAAACGAGAGAGGAATACATCATCAGCACCACGATCTTGTGGAAAACAATAGTAATGATTTACATAAATCTCATGTTGGCGTATTGCTCAAAATTCGTCAACAACACTGCCCTAAAGGTAATGTGCTGTATCCTATGGGTTAAAAATGTATGCACCCACAACTTTTCATTAAAAGTGTAAACAACAACAACATTCTTACCGGTAAATATGACGTGGGTAAATGTACGACGACTTTCATATGGATTACAATAACTACGTACCCAGCACAAAATAAAGAGGTCAAAATTGTATTATCTTATGAGTGGGTGCATAACGCTGCTCTCGTTTCAAACTCTTACTCGTGCTGGTTAGGGATGAGTTGAGGAATTAAAAAAATTCTGAATTTGGATATTTTCAAACCCTTTTGGGAATGTCATCTAATCTCCATGATGTACTGATGCAACTTGTCCTCACGCTAAGGCACCGCCATTTCTCAAACTTGTTTGGCCCGCGGATCACTAAACTGATGCTGAACGCTCATGCGGGCCAGCCAACCCAGAACCTCCACCCCTGGTGGCAAAAACGCATTCAACTTCTCTCTCCAAATACCACAAACACAAAATGATTGAAACTAATTAATATGGTCTTCGCACCTGATTGGCTCACAAGTGACGACATCACATTTACGACTGAAACAAGAGGAGGATTTCTCCACAACTCTGGCTGTCGCCTGATGATGCTGGTTGTAATTACCGGCAAAACGTCACAGGGGTACTAAAATTGTAAATGTTGCCGTGGGTTTACTCTCCAACACACAACCGGCTAGTGCTCAGCTAGTAACGAATTGGCCACGTTTTGTTTACGTCACAAACCCTTTACTGATTGGCTGTGTCGAGTGGTGGCGGGTTTAACGACACATTCATAATTACGGGATCTAACCCAAAACACCTCTATTATGGAAAATTATTCATATTACTGGAACATAATTTTCTGTTTTAAAAGCAGTTATGTTTTTTTTTGGTGGGGGGGGGGGCATTTAGATCTTAGGGTTAGGGTAGTTTAATCAGGGTAGTTTACCTAATTTAATTTTTTCATTACAATTGTTTTGTGTTTAGTGTTGTTGTCCTTCCCCCACAACTCCGATTAGTATAGTTGGCTACGTACACAAATACAAGTTAAATATGAATGTCCGAAACAAAAGGTAGAAAAAATTATGTCAATATTGTGAGGATCAACTGTGGATTTGCATCACAGCCACCGGCGATCCACCTGGAGGACCATTGGAGACCACTGGTCGACCGGGGTCTGCACCCGAGGAACCACTGCGTTAGAGTAGCGGGTCACAAACCACACTCTAGGAACCACTGATCGAGAGTAGTGGTCCATAACCACACTCTGAGATCCAATGATCTAGAGTAGTGGTCCACAACCACACTGAGATCCACTAATCTAAAGTAGCGGTTTACAACCACACTCTGAGATCCAATGATCTAGAGTAGTGGTCGACAACCACTCTGAGATCCAATGATCTAAAGTAGCGGTTTACAACCACACTCTGAGAACCACTGCGGTAGAGTAGCGGTTCACAGCCACACTCAGAGATCCACTGATCTGGAGTAGCGGTTTACAACCACACTCTGAGAACCACTGCGGTAATGTGACCACCCGATGCGATGTGACCACCACTCCTGGCAAGAAAAGCGTGGATGTGGCATCATGTTAGTTTCATCTCATTGGTTCAGGATCCCTTATATCGACCTGACTTTCAGGGTTATATTTTTTTTGTTAAATACGACATTAGGAGAGAGAGAGTCCCTTGTACCAGTAGAGGCCAAAGCAAATACCCATTTTTCTGTCTGTGCACGTAAATGAAATCAATCGTGGGTTTTGTGCACGGTACTGATAAAACGCTTCTCTCCGGTCCCCTGATAAAATATCTTTATGGTGTTTGTCAGCATTAGTCCATTCCAAGACGATCGCAAGTTGACGTTTTTGACCAGAAAATATGAATAAATATACATTACCAGAACATATTAAAGGATTAATATTCATAGAAACATAATTCACTAATGAATACATAGAAAAACATGAGTACAAATCACCGAGTTTGCACGAGAGAGCTGTTTTTCCACTGCCAAAACAGAATACGTAATAACGTAAACAAAACCAGTCGAGGTGTAAACGCTCATAAGTGGGCGTCGATTATGAGCTGAAGGCGTGGCTCAACCCCACCTATGAGCGCTCGGATTGGCCAACATTTGCACCCGCTTGCACAACGTAAACACGTTACCGTTACTACAAAATTTGTAATGTTAAGTCGAAACCATGGGGGTCCTCTAGGTAGCGAAACGTTACTCTGAAAAACCGTGAACCCGAAAAACCGTGAACCCGATGTCACTGTTAACCAAGGCACTACTGTATTAGATTATTTAGCTGCTATGAATTTCCACATGACGGTAAGCCACTTCGTTGAGCTAACATTTGTGGCCATGTCGCTTCTGAATATCCACGTGGCCACGGGGAGAGAGATCACACAAACTCAAATATGCAGCAGGCATCGTCAGGGTCGGAATCGAACCCACGACCTCCTGTATACCAGGCGAAGATAGTTAACATCTAGCCAATGAATTTGGCAGATTGGGTGCAGAATGGAGAGCTGTCTGGTTACGAGAAAGGCAACACTGTAGCTTCCCGAGGTCAGATTTTCAGCAGAACATATTTGAGAGTTGACATATATACTGCTCGAACCCTTGAAGTGTTTGAATCCTCATTGTGTTCTCACAGCTGTGCGCAAACTGTCACCACTCCACACAATGAGACACTCTGCTCAGGTGAAATTAATGTTTTAACCATCCAAAATCTGTCCACCCGAGCATGCTCGTCATCTTATCTTAAAGTAATTTATATAGCGCCTTATGCAGGGCGCTTTACACAGAATTAACAATGGTACACACGGATGCGATGGTGGAAATGAGGTGAATGAAATGGATGAGAGGAAGCAATGGATGGCAAATCTGTGATGCGTGGATTTGGTGAAAGCGAAATTGATGGCAGTATATGATGATGAATGGTTTTAATGAATGAGGATTCATGAGTGAAAGCAGTATAATGAGAATATGCAGAAGGAAAAGTAATGGTGGCGTTTATGAGGGGGAGATTGAGGGTGTTGTGGGGTGAGAGCCAAGGTAAATAAGTGAGTTTTGAGTGCGGAGCGGAAACGAAGTGGAGTGAAGGTGACTTTAATGTGGAGGAGGAAGTTTGTTCCAGTGAAGGTGGGCGAAAAGAGAGTGAGCGAAAGCGTGGATTGAGTTCAAGGAGACAGAGCAACAGAGTGAGCATAAAATGCCTCCTCCTCAAGTCACCTGCCAAAATCCGTTTGGTGGACGGAGGTGGCGAGGTAATGACTGAGCGGCACACAGATTGGAAGACCACCGTTGTAATTTGAGCCTCACGTTTATGTATGTACGTACATTGAACTTTGTTCACGCAATATATAGCCAACCGTGCTAATCGGGGGATGGGTGAGTGTGCGGGTGAGTGACTATGTAAGTGGGTGAATGACCATGTGAGTCTATGTATGTACATACATTGAACTTCGTTCGCACCGTACATAGCCAACCGCGCTAATCGTAGGATGGATGATTGTGTGGGTGAGTGACTATGTATGTGAGTGGGTGATTGATTATGTGAGTGGGTGTGTTACTATGTGAGTCTATGTATGCACGTGCGTTGAACTTCGTTCACGCCGTACATAGCCAACCATGCGCCAATTGGAGGCGCACATCCCATGTACCTGGGATGCGCACGTTCCGGATCAGCTTGTGGATCTTCAGCTCGTCCAGAACCGAGAGCCGCGGGTCTCCCAGCGGGTTCTTGTTCTGGAAGGTGGCGCTGTAATTCTTGAACTCTCCCAAGAGGCTGCTGGTCATCCACCAGCGCGCCACCTTGGTCTCGAACGGCTGTAGGTCCCCGAATAGCACCTGCAGGGAGCTGGACATGGGCCCGGAGCCCAGGGTTGCACCGATGATCTGGAACTTAACCAGGAGGCCCTTCTTGTTGGAAACAATTTCCGGCTGTCCCGAGGTGATCTCCAGATTCCTGGCCACACCGTAGCCCTTGTTGCGGACTGCCACGCCCAACGTGAATGGCACCGATGGTTCCACCGCATCAGTAAATGGGTCATCTGAATTCACAAATCTACAAAGAGACAACGTGCAATAAAAAAATGAAATCGTAAAATAGGAAAGGAGGAAAATATCGTTAGTCGTGATCCGTCCACCACTGGGTTGGATGAAAGAGTCTCCAAGCCACCACCGACTCGATCCTGCGATGTAACAATCCACCGGCGCTCCATCCACGAGCCCAGTGGTTCTCAACCGGGGGTACACGACGGATCAAGGAAGCAGAAGGGCATCAGTCGCCCCCAGCGTCGCGTTGGCTCGCAATTCTGAACGCTTTCCAACCGAGAATACACAGTGCGTTCACACCATCAGCTCTGCCAGTGTATACAAATGGGTTAGATAACTCTGAACCATCTTGAGCAGTGGTTCTCAACTTGGGGTACGTGGCGATGTCCCAGGTTGTAACGTGATGAGGTGATTTATAAATGCGTGAAATTACATCGTTTTTGGTAAATAATCACGTATGAATCTGCCAATATAATTTAACTACGATAACATTTAAATCCGTACAGTAACCTAGAATGATGTAAACGACCTTTCTAAACTCACCAATAGTAAACAATGCGGGTTTCCAAGAGTAACTGACGAGCATGAACAAATGACGTAGCGCGTGCCGAGCGTCCGTTGAATATTTTTGTTTTATTCGCTCGCAGTTACTAGCTGGTTAGCATACCCCACAAAATGGACAATTGGTTGAATCGTGGACTAACCCTTGTGGCTGAAGTATTTTTTCGAATGTCAAGAATTGTTAAATCTTTAGAAAGTCATGCAGATGAAGAAGTCGCCTGGTGGCGTTGAGCCGGCACTGCAGAGATCCCGGTTTCAAATTCAGGTTTCAGTCACCTGAATAACCTTTTCCCGTTCTGACGATGTACGTATGCATACGTCAGTTTTTCCTTCCAATTCCGTTCTGATGACGTTCCACGTGTACGTCAGCTTTTCTTTCCGATTCCGTTCCGATGATGTAATGCATGTACGTCATCAGTTTTTCCTTCCAATTCCATTCCGATGACGTAACGCGTGGACGTCATCAGTTTTTCCTTCCGATTCCATCCTGATGACCTAACGCGTGTACGTCATCAGCTTTTCCTTCTAATTCCGTTCTGATGACGTAATGCGTGTACGTCAGTTTTTCCTTCCGATTCTGTTCTGATGACGTAACGCGTGTACGTCATCAGTTTTTCCTTTCGATTCCGTTCCGATGATGTAATGCGTGTGCGTCATCAGTTTTTTCCTTCCGATTCCGGTCCGATGATGAACGCGTACGTCATATTTTTTTCCTTTCCGATTCCGTTCTGATGACGTAGCGTGTGTAGGCCAACAAAAGGAAACTGAAACAAAAACTAAAATAAGATCACTTTATTGGTACTAAGACTCCCACCCACAAGGCCATGTGGGAAGGGCGTGTGGCACCGTTTTGGCGCCGGCTATTGTAGAGTGGCGGCGGACGTGTTGCTACGGTTCTCTGTGGTGAGTCACAACGTCTTTCCCATAATAGAGGTTGGTTAGATCACGTAAATATAAATGTGTCGTTAAAACCACCACCACCCGACACAGCCAATCAGTCAAGGTTTGGTCACTTAAACAAAACGTGATGAACTAGTTCAGCACTAACCGGTTGTGTGTTGGAGAGCCAACCCACAACAATCACAAATCGAGTAACCGTGTCACGTTTCACCGGAAATCACAATCAGCCTCATTAGGCGATAGCCAGAGTTGTGGAGAAATCCTCCTGTTTTGGTATTAAATAGAGGGGAATATATGTGATGTCGTCACTTGTGAGCCAATCGGATGTGAAGACCAATGGATATCCATTATTGGTTGGCTTATTCAAAGTAGTCTTTTTTTGTTCACGTTAAACGACGTATTAAAAAACAGCAGCACTACTACTACGCCTCTCGATAAATAACATTAACGCTGAGAACCGTTGGCGCGTTTTGAGATTCAGCTGTGAATGGGACACCCATCTTACCCACCCTGCAACTGTCAAGTGTGGTGAGTGGACGGTCACCGATGATTGCAACACACAAAAAAAGGTCACGTTGGATTAAACGAATTAACGGCATTTTTTTTTATAAAACATCCAACTGGCATGTAAATATCAATTTGACCGTCAAATGACAGAAACATTGACAGCATATGGCAGATTGAGCTGGAAAGTGGTGGCCTCTGCTACCGAAACCAGAGGTAACGTAAAGGGATTTCAGAGCTAGCTCTGTGATATCCGACATCTTAAAGGGCAGTTCTCTAACACATGAAGGGTTGCAATTGTCCGGATAGTAACAATTGGGATGTAATTGGGGTAAGAAAAAAATAATACGAACAAAAAATGTAAGCAAGATGGGCACCTCTCCAAGAAGTAATGTATGGTGAGTCTAGGATCAGGAGCAATGGTGATCGTCTCAGGGTACAGGGGGATCTCTACCAAGGATCCACCTGTAACAGATCACACACATACGCACACACAAACAAAGACAAAAATCCCCCGTGTAGCCTTAACAGACTGTTGGGGCAAGTGCTGTTCGTATCTAGTAGCAGCGTCTATGAATGCCGGCACCATGGCACACGAAGGGGTGGGTGGCCAGTTCCATGCCCGGCCACCTTTGTCTCCCTAGTAGCGATGTTTACCACTACACACCACTTCATCAGGTACTCATTTGAGGCTGAGTCCAACTAGGGGAAGTCCAGGACCGGTTTAGATAATCTTCACTGGTGTTAGTGGCCATGAGCAGGAATCGAACTCACGCAACACACCAACAGCTACACTCCCGCTCCATACACACACACAGACACACAATCAGTGCAGCCAATGTTATTGCAGTTAGGCTTAAATAAAGTTGTTTTTGGGTTAGAGCGTGTAAATATAAATGTGCCGTTAATCGCGCCACCACTCGACACAGCCAATTAAAAAGGGTTTATCACGTCAACAGAATGTGCCAATTAGTTACTAGTTCAGCACTAACCAGTTGTGTGTTGGCAGAGTAAAATCCATAACTACAATATTTACAATTATAGTGTAGTATATAGTGTAGTGAATAATGTAGTATACTAATTGTGTGTTGGAGAGTAAAACCCACTCAAACGTTTACAATTATAGTGTAGTGTATAATGTAGTGTACAGTGTAGTATACTAGTTCAACTCTCACCGGTTGTGTGTTAGAGAGTAAAACCCACAACTACAACGTGTACAATTTCCGTTTTTTCTGGAAGGCTTTGCTGTTTTTCCAGGATTTTGTTGTTGTTGCGTGTAGTCACTTTCAGGTGTTTCTTGTTCATGTTTTTGTTTTGTTGCGGTTGCACCCGAGTCAAGAGCCGCATGGCTCACAGGGTTATACCTAATAAATGAAACTGAAAACGTTTCGCCGGTGATCATAATAACAACCAGCCTCGTCAGGCGATTAGCGGGAATTGTGAAGAAAGTCTTCTATTTCGCAAAGCGCCCTTACTACATGTTAAACTGCAATTTGGCCTTACGAAGGAAGCGTTTCATCTCGAGAATAAAACAATGTGGCCCAATTAGTGGCCAATCTTGCCTCCTCAAGAAATGCTTGCTGCATCACCATCGCATGCAGCTTACGCTGAACTGATGTTCCAATGCCCTCACCCAGAGCCCTACTTTGCAGTCCTTCTGTACAAACTTCTTTAACCATTCCCTGCAGTTAGTTTACCATCGTGTGCTCTTAAAAACTAACTGCAACATCTGCGGTGGTTGATACTTGCTCTATTTTGTCTGCATACAGTTGATCTTCGATTACATACGGCGGTTTCGCGGGGGCAGGGAAAGGTTGCATCGGATTTTAAAAAACGCCGGATGATTTAGTGATTATCACTGATGTTCTAATGCCCTCACCCAGGCAATTACATTACACTAAATCATCATTATTATTTAAAATTGCTTATTTTTGAACATTCATGCATGGCATTGTTTTTAAGTGTTGTGTACAGTGTATGTTTTTTTAGTGTTATCAATTTGCTTACTATGTAAAATTGGCATAAATAAACATACAAATAGACAAAAAAAAATATCCTACTGTGAAAAGTTACTATTTAATGGACTGTACTTACCACTCTAATCTCGAAGATTCTGCATCACGGGGTGATGTACGCAGTACCACTACGCTCTTGTTTCAACAACATGATGGGTTTGACGATCGCAGGACTGGGTCACAAGCCTTTGGGGCGTTTTTTTGCCCATTTCGCCAGTGCGGTCCAGGACCGCTGGATAATGTTGGAAGCAGCCGGTTATTTGCGCAGTGCTGGATAATCGATGTTCAACTGTTTTTCCTTTTATTTTCACCAATACAATTTTTGTCAAGCTTTGAATAATTGTGGGCAAAAATGCTTGTAAATTTTTTAAATCTGGGACAGTACAACCCCCTTTTAACGACGGAAACCAGTCATTAAGTGATTTAGTCGTTAAGCAAATAAAGAAAATACACTTTAAAGGTTTAATTTGTTCCGATACCATCGAAAGTTACACGTACTTTATATTATTTAAACATTGGATATCCATACAAAAAGATACTAACAATATTATAAACAAAATATTAAAATAAACATGGTCAATCAATGCATTTATTCATATTTACTGTAGCTACAACAGCCCGTAGTTAAGAGGGGAATGGTCGGTGAGTGAACATATTGGGCTCTATGGAGGCATTACACTACACTATACACTATACATTGGGCTCTATGGAGGCCCGTATTTAAGATGGGTTCTACTCTGATTTTCCCTAGAGGCTGCCACTGGATAACATTTTAAGCAAGGTTTCTCTACCCCAGTCGTTCTTCACGAATTTTCAGAGTAGGAGGTGTTGCCACTTTCACCGATAAAAAGACATCATGAGTGTGTGAGCAGGGCCGCCACACATTGGAAACCATTGGGTTGGGATTGACAGCAGAACGATAATGATTGGGAGTGTTGTCACTCTTTGTGAATTGTGCTGTGGGGGGATGGGGCGCATGTCAGGGGCCCGCACCAATGGCCTGCGGGTGGCCTTGCAACAAATAATGAAGAAGAGCACAATGGAGAACACAAGAAGAACACAATGAAGATGAACACTGCTATAATAATTAATACAATAAATAAGAACACTGATACAATAAAGAAAAACACAATGAAGCACACAATGAAGCAGAGCACCGCTCTACCCTGGCGCAGGTACGTTACCCAGCATGTAGGAGAAGAGGCCAGACACGTCGTACTGGGTGTCGTGCGTGGGCGCAGCCTCGCTGTAGGCGACCATGAGCCACTCGGCACTCCCTGCAGACGTCGGCTCTAGCCGGCCGTCTCCACTCACGCCGCTCAGACCTCCTGACACAGCAGGGCTGCCTACAAGTGAGAGACACACGGTGGTCACGTTGCGTCGCGCTTCCAAGGCTCTGTAGAGATAACTTCCAGTCTGGCAGGCCGCGCGTTCATTCCCATGTGCATCTACCCCAAATGCTAGTGTACGGTACAGGGAAAGCAGTGCATGCGTTGGCACGTCGACGAATGATCGACAGGATCGGGAGAGCGGCTTCATGTTCAAACGTACAGAATTCAGATTCGAGGGACAATCGCCATCGCGTACCGATGGAGAAGAGGTGGTTGGACTCGGACTTGTTGTCGTGCCGCTTGATGATGATCTTCACCTCGATGCTCTCGAGAGGGGAAGCCTCCTGGTTGGTGATATCCAGCGTCGCCTTCACGGCCTCTCTGGTCAGGGTCAGCTTTTGATCGATTTTGATGCGCACCACGGCGCACACTCCCTTCTGCACACGACGATCAAAGACGCAGAAGGGGCATCGGTCACCCCCAGTGTCACGTCAGATAGCAATTATGAACACTTTCCAACCGAGGATGCATAGTGCGTTTACACCATCAGCTCTGCCAATCCAGTGTGTAGAATGGGGCTAGATAACTATCAATCATCTAGAGCAGAAATTCTTAACTGGGGGTACGTGGCGGACCTCTGAGGGTAAGGTGGCAATGTCCCAGGGGGTAAAGTGACGAGGTTATTTATAAATATGTTAAATTATATCATACATGAAAGACATTGGTGAATAATCACGCATGAATCTGCCAAAATAAAATAACTACAAAAACTTTGAAATTCGTATGGTAACCTAGAACGATATAAAACCTTTCTAAACTCACCAATGATAAACAATGCGGGTTTCCAAGAGTAACCAGCGAGCAAGAGCAAATTACGTCACGGGTGCAGAGCGCCTGTTGAATTTAGTTTTTATTTGCTTGCAGTTACTACTAGCTAGTTATGACATAATCTCACAAAATGGGACAATTGGTTAAAATATCGAGGTAATGCAAGGTTGAGAACCACTGGTATAGAGCCCTGAGGCCGGGGGTGGAAATTCCACGTTCTTATGGCAGGCGAAAGTCTTTCCATAGGACAACCACCTGATGATTTACCCAAAAAAAGTGGTACCGTTTTTTTTTATCAACCCCGCAATGCTTGATGGGACTGAGTCAACCCCCCCCTACCCCCACCAGAAATTTTACTTGGAACCATCCGACCGCGAGCCGTCCGGGCTCTGGTTCCCACCCACCTGGTATGGAGTGGAAGGGGTGCACCTTCAGCTTTGTAATTGCATCTCGAGGTTAGCCGAGCGTGTTAACCCGTAACTCATTAACCTCATTCACCCAACAACGTTACCTTCTCCTCGGGCTTCTCCTCCAAGGCGTTGTAGGCGACTTGGAACATCTCCGCTAAAGATGAGTATCCAGCCTGCACGGCAATGAAAATTGAAGCACAAACATTATTGCCGCACAACGACCCATGCAGTACCTCTCACATTAACTGTCCACGTAAAGGATTGATCGTAAGTCGTACATATTTTCGTTTGGCCACATCGCGATCTGGCCAAATTTCCATCCTTATGACCCCTGCACCACCCGATGCAGCCAAACAAAATAAAATTGCCACAAGTATGATGTGGGGTTCATGTAGACTTAATGCGTTGCAAAAAGGTTATGTAAAAATCTTACGACACCTAATTTTTTTTCCACAAGGGGTATTAAAACCTTTTCTTGTTTTTAATCATTTTTGATAATGGCAAAAAAGGTATCCCATAGATATAAAGAATCAAGTCTGCATTAACCACACGTACTTGTGGTGGACATGCAAACAACCACACTAATAATATATGCATTCCGTTTGATAATTAATGGCCTACACCAGAAACAGCCTTCTTTAGGGCCTAGTCTCACCAGTGTCAGACCATAGAATGCCAAAAGGCAAAGAGTACAAAGACAATGCACGATCAGCGCATTTATAGATCGGTGAGCAGCTATAAAAAATGGGACCTTTTGCCAGTAGTATGACATTTGTTTGTTTTTACCCTTTCTGGCAATAAAACAGGTGTTATGATGTTTGTTTGCATGTTTATCACAAGTACTGTGTGTGGTTAATGCAGACTCGATGCCTGGCAAAAGGTTTCTATTTGGTGTTTGAACATCTTCACACCTCCTGTTTTAATGCCAGAAAGGGTAAAACCTATTTTTATTCTGGATGAAAATTAAATTTTCAAGTTTTTTCACGTGCCAACTACGATTATCCGTTCAGCTTAAGAGTAAGTACAAAAAACTATTTTCACAAATTAATAAATTAGAAAACGACGTTGCATTTGAGGCAACGGTCAAGGGGTGCGTCATGGTGCCTAGGAGATGTTAACTCCCTCGCCCGGTATGCAGATCGTGGGTTCGATCCCGACCCTGACTACGCCTGCTGCATATCTGAAGTTTGCATGTTCTCCCCGTGGTCGCATGGATTTTTCTCTGGGTTCCCCGGCTTTCCCCCTCCACATTTAGAAACAAGCATTTAGAGTACTCTTTGGTTCTTTCGGTAAAGTCACGTAGGTATAAAATAAATTAAATGTAATCACGACGTTTCGGGCGCAACACAAGCGTCAGTCATCAGGTTGGACAACCACAGCAAGAAACGACTGCTGAAGTGGGAACAAGTAAACCCGTAAAAACTAAGTTTTTCACTCTAAATCCTTTATATGCGTGGCGGCTAGAGTTCTCTCGTCCTCTGGCTTGAGATGGCTGCAATCTATGGGTCAGATGGATTGCATTGCACCATTAAGCAATTGGTAATTAAATATTTAATTTGTTTTCCCTAAACAGTGTAAAATTTTGGGAAAAAAATTTCACGAAAATTAATTGTCACACACAACGAGTCTGTGTGGAAAATGTCAGCTCGATTGGATCACGGGAAGTGGGTTAAAAAACGAGCGAAAGATTTGCACGGTCCTAAGCAAGCAAGCAAACTTAATATAAAGGATTTAAAAATATATTCGCCTGTGGAGGACGCGGGGATCGATCCCGCGACCTTTGGCATGGGAAGCGAGGGCGCTACCAACTGCGCTCCTCCACCACGGCCTGTGGAGGGGTTACGCTCTGGGCTCTTACACTCTGACGTTCAGCCAAAGCCATGAATGCGTTCTATTTGAATATATGTAAAATACATTTTTTTGCCTAAAAAGTGTAAAATTTTGGGAATTTTTTTTCACGAACAATAATTGTCTGGCACAACGAGTCTGTGTGGAAAATGTCAGCTCGATTGGATCACGGGAAGTGGGTTAAAAAACGACCGAAAGATTTGCACGATCCTAAGCAAGCAAGCAAGCACGCGAACTTAATATAAAGGATTTAAAAAGGGCTGTCGTGACAGGCAAGAGAGGGGGGAGGAACAAGGGAGGAGAGATAGAGAGGGGGGTGTGGGGTAGGTGGAGTGGAGCGCTGCTAGAGGGATTAGAAGACGAGCAAGGCCGCGACTATTAATGTCCACGTGATGATAAGCCACTTTGTTGGAAGATCAACTGTGATAACCAGGTTGCTTCTGAAAACGAGCGACATAGCAGCTTAGTTGGCCTTATCTGGTAAAATGCAAAATAGTTTTAATAGTTTGGTATCGTGACCTAGCAGTAGCACGTACGTTGCTTACTGCAGAATAAGGAGTATTCTATTTTTTGGGTCTTTCGGTAAAGTCACGTAGATAGGTTCAAAGAAAATATCAAAATAACAAAACACTACGACGTTTCGACCGCAACACAAGCGGTGTTTTGTTATTTTGTTTGAACCTATCTATGTGACTTTACCGAAAGACCCAAAAAATATGAATTCCTACAGTCACGAAAGCTTTAAGTCAAGATTTAAGCAGTATTTATTTATTTATCTTTCCTCCCACACCTCCGATTAGCGCACGGTTGGCTACGCACGATGGGTGCGAAACAAGTTTAACATACAGTACAGTATATACAACATATTACATGCAGAGGTTCACAGTTCGGATTCAGTGATGATTGCCGTGGGTGTAAATGTCCCCAACAACGCTACACACAGTGGATGTTAAAGATCCCCTGACATCACATGCAAGAGAGTGCCAGGGTCAGGGTAAACATTTGTCAAGTAAATAAAGAAAAACGTAACCACATTATCGAACTGTGATTATACACAACAATCATTGCTCCTTTACTGGCAGGCTAAAGCCCCATGTCACTCTTGTAAAAGGGACTATCCTAGTATCTTTTGGGTTCTCACCTGGTTAGACAAAATAAACTTGGTGCATCTTCAGGACAAGATCAAGAAGTCAGAATCATATCCAGGAAATTAGAATAACCATGTCTCCCTGGCCCAACTTCTTAACGTGACATCATGGGAACAACAGATCGGATGTACACTAGATATGAACAATTTCTAATTAATTTTAATTATATTGTAATTTATATGGGCCAATTATGATTATACGCATTATGCATTTGTAGTGGTGTTAACTACTCGCGGTTCGCAAACTGAGAGAGCGGATCGTAAACAAGGTTTTCCCGCTCAATCAATGGCAGATTGGGAAGGGCCAATCAGATGATTCCACAAGGTGGCCGGGGATTGGACAACCCGGCCACGAACAGGTATAAAAGCCAGAGCGCTAAGAGCTCTTGGTTAGTTCTGCTACACGAAGACCCAAGTCGGCTGAAGACAGCTAGGACCCTGGACCAAGCCTTCCAGCCCTTATCAGGGCTGGGGCTCAGTGTAACCAGTGGTCAGGGGAGATAGGTCCTGGATAGGACCCTGGCTCCCAGCCTTCCCGCCCTTGTGAGGGCGAAGGTCCTGAGCGACCAGAGGTCGGGGACCCGCCAGGCCAGCGGCGGGTCAGTGTGCCTCCCCTAGGTCCCAGCCGGAGGACGCTAGGCTAGCGGGAAGATTAGATAGACAGAAGTCCGAAGGCTGTACCTTCGTAGAATAGGAGCGAAGAGTGAGTGTGAGCTGTGCAGGGTCAGGAGACTGTGTGCTAAGATAATAAACAGTGTGTGCCATAAAGAAGTTTAGAAGTCCGTCCTTTACAACACTACACATTGATACTCAATATACTAATCTTAGGCAGGATAAGCGTTATGTTAAATGATACTTAAAATAAATACCAGAAATGTTATAAAGTGTGATAATTATTGAATACACAACCTAGTTCTTAATAATGCATCCAAGTAATTTTTATAACCACCTCTTCTGCCAGCTTGAGGTCCTTGACAACAGCCTGAGTGAGCTCGCTGTATCGTTGGTAGTCGATGAGGTTGGAGTGGTTTGCCGAGTCTGTGATGGCAGCAGCCCACAGCGATTGGGTGTCGTTCCATCGCTGCAGGAACTGCTCCACCATGGCCTGGCTCACATTTCCTTACGGAATTTAAACAAGGACACAAAATCCCACATACATACATACACACTTACAAAACAATGACAAAGATCCCCCGTATAGCCTTAACAGACTGTTGGGGCAAGTGTTGTTAACGAGCACCTATGAAGGCCGGAACAGCATACGAGGGGGTGGGTGGCCAGAACCATGCCCGACCGCTTTTGTCTCCCCAGTGGTGATGATTACACACCACACCAGGTACTCATTTGAGGCTGAGTCGACCTTGGGGATGCCCAGGACCGGTTCAAATAATCATCACTGGTGTTGGTAGCCGTGAGCAGGAATCGATCAGGTCGCCGGATTCGTAGCGCATCGTAGCGCAGCGTAGCGCTAACCGTTACTCCAACGCTCCCCAAACACACACGTATTATGAAAGCGTCGTTCATTTCGTGAATTAAATATTGAATGAAAATGTCAAGGTTTTTTTTATTTTAGCCAATGATTAATGGGTAAGACCGGAATCTAGCAAGCGTGATGGCGACGCGTGACTACGAGCCACCAACTACCAGAGCGGGACTATACCGAAATGAAGGAGTCCCGAATGAAGACGCAGACCAAGATAACTCGGTTTTTGGTACCACGGTGGCTAGATGTTAAATACATCGCCTGGTATGCAGTAGGTCGTCGGTTCAATTCCGACCCTGATGCCTGCTCTATATTTGGAGTTTGCGTGTCTCTCTCCCTGTGGTCGAGTGGATTTTCTCCAGGCCCTCTGATGTTTCCCTCCACATTTAGAATCAACATCACGCGTTTAGGGTATTTGGCTGCTATACATTTCCACGATGATAAGCCACTTCGTTGAGTTATCATTTTTGATGGCCAGGTCGCTTCTGAAAAAGAGCTGTATATATGCAGTGGGACTTACACCTAGTTAAATAAAACATTTAATAGTTTGGTTTAGTGGCCTTGCAACAAAGTTGCTCATCTTGTGGAAATTTGCTAGGTTCATAGTATGCAGCAACTGGAGAAGCAGCATGCCACATGCTCATGTATGCTTTTACCGTGCTGTAACCATTCTTAAATGAGTGGCTAGAGGTGTGCTTCTTTTGTAAGGCGATGTTTGTTTGTGCCGTGTTTTGTGCTTTGTACAATAATTCCTATTAAATGTATTTATAGCTTAGTAGTGTCTAGTTTAGCACGTACCTTGCTTACTGCAGAATAAGGAGTATTCTATTATTTGCGTCTTTCGGTAAAGTCACGTAGATATTTATTTGAATCTATCTACGTGATTTTACCGAAAGACCCAAAGAATATGAATTCCTGCAGTCACGTAAGCTTTAAGTCAAGATTTAGTGTATATTAATTTGTGTGCGTCGAACTTATTTCGCACCGTACGTAGCTAACAATGCTAATCGGAGTTGCGGGGGAAAGGACAAACTAAACACAACAACAAGCAGTTCCAATGAAATTCGTAATCCATGTTAACGTTCCTGTGAATTTACTCATGTCCAATTTACCCACATCAGAGTTGCACATTAAAGCACGTGACCTTACCTGGGGTAGGCATAGCTAGAATGTCTGAATATTCAATCTCCGTGATGAGAATTCCTCCGGGGCTGCCGTCATCAATCTTGGGCTTGAAGACGTAATTAAGCCACTTGGCGTCATGCACATGCAGCCTGTAAGTAAGAAGACGATGGACCCTCGGTTTCACGAAATAATAATAAGTTATCACATACACATAAATTAAATTGCGTTCGTGTGTGTGTGAATGTTGAACTTCTTTCACACCGTGTTAATCGGAGGTGCTGGGGAAGGACAATAAACTAAACATAACGAGCAGTTATAAATAAATTAGTTTTCAATCTAGATGATGTAAAAGTGCACAGCTCCAGTGGCTTCCTAATATCGGAAGGAAAATCGTTCCAGACCGCTGCAGAAGCAGCACATCTGAAAGCGCCGCGCGATTATGTGGTGACTGTTTTTGTTTGGTGGCTAGTCAAAATCCGCTTCTGCTGCTGCGAGCATGACCGGAGTTCGCGTGATGGCTGATGCTCCTTGATGAAACCATCGAGGTATCGTGGTTCATTTGCGAAACATCCTCTATGGGATGCTTTCCAATGCAATGTTACCGACGTTTGCATCAGATTTTTTTTCATCAGTTTGAAATAAAACTGATAAATTTTAGAATATAAAGTGATATATTTTTTAATATATCAAACTGATATATTTTAATGGTTACAGCTGTGGAATTTCACCAAATCAAATTAAATTCAGATTCAATTCACGCGTGGACTTAGGGGCTGTCCATAAATGACGTCACGCGATTTTGGACGATTTTGACCCCCCCCCCCCTAGTCACGCGGCGTCACAAAAAGTCAGACCCCCCCTCACAAAGCTCTGCCCCCCCACCCCCCCAAAAAACAAAACATGCTTCAAATCGCTTTAAACTATTGTCATTGTAGTGCGTATTTAATGTGGCGCTGCACTCTGATGTTGTAGGAGAAAACATTTATTTAAAAGGCTATTTATTACTTATTACTGGTAGGAACCTCCTGGTTACACCAGCCCACAGGGGATTATTGTGTCCGTCGTGCAAGGAGGGGCTGGGTGGGGATGGAGGGGCTGGGTGGGGAGGGGCTGGGTGGGGAGGGTGGGGCTGGGTGGGGGGTGGGAGGGGTGGGGCTGGGTGGGGGGTGGGGCTGGGTGGGGAGGGGCTGGTCACCCCGTGGTGCCCTTATAAAACTCAACGTTTAACCTACTCACGCCGGCTTGTGCCCGCCCTCACAGTCGGCCATATTTGCGGAATACACCACGCCGCCGTTGACCCTGGCCATTGACCGAGCAACCCAACGTTTCTACCAGCTCCCTCCGCAGGAATGTTTAAAGTTGCGCATTTTGATGTGACGTCACATTTCTCGAACCCCCCCCACCCCTCCGTCGTCACACATCGCCATAAATGTCTGACCCCCCCCCCCCCCCCAGGTGCGTGACATCATTTATGGACGGCCCCTTAAGCTTTTTCGGACACGTTGCCCAGGTGGACGAATCGACACATCACGCCAGAGCTTTGTGCGAGATCGTCCACGGCCCACCGCAGGACTGGAGGCGCGCCCCCAGGGTAGACCACTACCTGACTTGGACACGTGCGATCGAGGGCCGATCTTCGACAACATGACGATGGCTTGCATTCAGCGTGGCGGCTCGCACGGGATAGGACCGCCTGTTGGCGGCTCGTTGGGACTGCTACGCTCCGAGGGGCATGCATATGATGATGGTGATGATGATGCATTGGTGACCATGCCGAAACCAATGCATAGCATACGCTGATATTAAAACAAGGTGACACGGAAATAGATATGAAGACGTAAATAACGTGAAGATTGAGTGAATAACAATGGCAGATGCAATTGAGGAAGGCAGACTGCTGTGGGGAGGTCATGTCGGAAGGAAAGCCCAGGAAAAACAGCTATCCAGCAATCGTAGATGCTAAAGTGGAGGGCAACATAGGCAGATGACTGGCATCGAGATGTTATTGGTGGAGTGGGGAAGGCTCCGAGCAGGGAGGGGAATTGACATGAACTGTAAAAAAAATTATTTTATTTTACCAGGTGTAAGTCCTACTGAGCTACAACTAAATGCAGTCGATCATTGATTATCCGGTAGGTTTGGGGGCGCTAGATTTTAAAAAATGCTGGATAATCACAAATCATTATTTAAAATATCTTTTTTTGCACATTCTTGCATTATGTTTTAATGTGTTGGTGTTCACTCTATGAAATTCGCATAACTAGACAAAGACAAAATTATCCATAATACAAGTTTTTTGGGTTAGATGGCGTAAATATATAAATGTGTCAAACCCACCACCGCCTGACACCGCTGTACTCGTAACGAATTGGCATGTTCTGTTTACTTGACAAACCTTATTATTTGGCTGTGTCGGGTGGTTGTGGGTTTACGACACATTTATATATTTACGCCATCTAACCCCAAAAACTAGTATTATGGACGATATTAGTCGCGAAAGCCTACATGTTAAACAGACAAAAATAAACACTATAAAAAAGTTACTGTATTTACTGTACCGTACTTACCACTCCAATTTTGAAGACTGCATCATAGAGTGATGTATTAACGTGCGGTATTTTCATTGTTTAAGTTGTATGCAGTGTATAATGTATCATATGTAATATTTGACAGTGAAATTAAGCACAGGTACTGTTTTTGTCACGCACACGGTGACGACCGCCAGACGAGTTACAGCCTTTGGAGCGGTTTTGCCGGTTTCGCCGGATCGGACTGGGACTGCTGAATAATGTTGGAAGCCGGATATTCGCGTGCTGGATAATTGATGATTCCCCGTATCTCTCTTTCAGAAGCGACCTGACTATCACAAGTAATAGCGCAACAAAAATGGCTGATTGTATCATCATCATCACGTGGAAATGTACACTCTAAACGTATGACGTTGATTCGAAATGTGGAGGGGAAAATCCCGTGGACCCGGTGAAAAATCCACGCGACCACGGGGAGAGAAAGAGACGCAACTCCCAATATACAGCAGGCGTCAGGGTCGTGATCTAACTCACCACCTCCTGTATACCAGACAAGGTAGTTCACATCTCCTAGGCACTGTGGCACACCAAAAGAGGCTGGATTGGAAGAATATACTTAACAAAACACAAACCCATCCACTTATGTGGAATGCAGATGATTAAATACACCGAAAAGGCATTCACCATTCTTTATCGCCAAACACTTCGACGGCTAAATCCCACTGTCGTTCCATTGCCCTCAGTGAATCCGCCAGCTGGGCCAAGCTATCCCCTACAGCAGACCCACATGTCATCTTGGCGGAGCCCAGGCATTTATTTGGCGCGTCTCGAAGACACGACCTGCAAAAAACCACAAACACAACAAACAAAACAAAGTAACGTGATGTGACGTTTAAGAAAATAATTGATGACGTGATGTGAAATCACCTTCTCGGTGCTTTCACATCGGATAAAAATTGAGTGTTTTCGGTTTGACATCTCTGGGACTACTTTTTCGTGTTTTTTCCACAAGCATGACGTGTGGCTAATGCAGACTTGATGCATTGCAAAAGGTGCGTATATTTGTTGTTTGAATATCTTAACACACTACTCCTGTATTATGGCCTGAAAGGTTAAAGCCTATTCTTTTTTTATATTTGCGATTACGTAGGCAGGTGATCATGGGCGCTTGTCATTTGTTTTCAGCCGTTTGTCCATCCACTGCCGGATAAAGGCCTGCCCGCAACATATACCATTGATCACCTGGGCCTTGTTTCACCAGACTAAACCAACGACGCATCGCGAGGGCCGGCAGCTTTGTCAGCCCTCCAGGGATGTCGTGAATTCTGCGAACTTTAACCACCCGTGTTATTTTGCCAAGCGTTTTCTGATGACGATCACATTTACCATCTACAGCAGTGGTTCTTCCCAATTTTTCAGAGTTGGATTGGGTGGGGGGGGGCACTCTTGCCGATAAGAAGATATCATTCGTGTGTGAGGAGGGGCCGCCACACATTTTAAACCATTTGGTTGGGTTTGACAGGAGCACGATGATGATGATTGGGGGTGTTTTCACACTTTGTGTATTGGTCGGGGGGGGGCGGATGCGAATTTAAACTACAGTCGATTGTCAGGAAGGGGGTGCAGTATTTTCAAAAACACCCCTTGATCTCCACATCATCATTAAAATAGCTTATTTTTGCACATTATTGCATGCCATTATGTTTGTAGGTGTTTTGTGTATGTTTTTTTGTGTTTTTAATTTGTTAACTACATGAAATTTGCATAATTAAACATACAAATAGCCATATCCTGTAAAAAGTGACTATTTACTGCACCGTACTTACCACTCCAGATAATCACCAATGATCATTTTTTTAAACATCAAATGTTTTCACATTATTGAATGACGTTATGTTTTTAGGTGTTGCGTGCATGTTTGTTTTAACGGTGTTAACACCGGTGTTAACTTATTGGTCCACATCAGTGACAGCTTTCTTTCGAGCCAAGTCTAGTCTCAAACACTGTCTAGTCTCAAACACTAGGCTCGAAAGAAAGCTGTCTCTGGTGTGGACCAATCTATTGTGGTTAATGCAGACATCTTAACACCTGTTTTGTTGCCAGAAAAAAGGGGAAAACCTATTCTCATAATTTGGTACTGCCAAAGGAGGTCCCATGAAGGAGGAAGGCTGCTTAACGCAGACTTTTATCGGGTGTAGTCAAGGGGTCATAAACGAAGTGGGCAGGGCTAGTGATGTTAATGTGAGAAATTAGGATGTTAATGTAAGATCGGAGAGCGGCGTCTGTGACGAGTGCGCAGGTGGCTATGTCATTGTGAGAGATTAGCATGTTAATGTAAGATCGCAGAGCAACCGCGATGCAGAGGTCGGCGTCCGTAGGTGGCCACGTTGGCATGAGAAATTCAACCTGCTAATGTGAAATCAGAGAGCCGAAACCACGGGGAAAAAATCTGGCCACATGGCCGACCAGCTCTGAACTAATTCCTCAACCACATCAATTCTATACACCCAGCCATCAAATTTACCATGGAAGTGGAAAAGGATAACAAGCTACTTATCATTCTTGGATGTTTCAATCGAAAAGAGACCAGATGGCTCAATGGGACACTGTCTACAGGAAAGCCACCCATACGGACACATACCTAAAACCTGACTCCCACCACCATCTATCCCAGAAGAATCCCCTCATCAAAACTCTACACCATAGAGCTCGATACATTTCTGACCATCATCACCTAGCCAGTGAACTGGAACATGTCCACCAAGCTCTCAAGATGAATGGATATTCAGACTACACAATCCGTAAAGCTATCACCCCAACCGTTGGGAAAGAACCATCTGAGGACCCAATCAAAACCATCACCTTTGGTGAACAAACACAAGATCCAGGTTCGATTTAACACAGTTCATAAAATTCGTGATCTGATCCCATCTGTGAAGGATGTGATCCCTGACATGCAATACCCCAGTATCTACAAACTAAGCTGTGTCTGCGGAAGTAGTTACATTGGGGAAACTAAGCCACATGTCTCAGACCGTGTTCGTGAACATAAGGCAGATCTGAAACACGGTAGGACCAATACCTCGGCCATGGCTGATCATTGTTTTAATGCGGTTAGCTTACACGAAATTGATTTCTCTAAGACAAAGGTACTTTGTAAACCCACTGGCTATCAACAAAGATTTTTTTCATGAAGCCATCCATAAATATATAAATAGAAAACATTTTAACCGAGAAAATGGGTACAAACCTAGCAATCATTGGAAGGACGTTATCAACCAGTTTAAGTCATAACTGGCTGTGATGTTTCCTTCCTGCCACCTTCCGATGTAATTTTTCCCCCGTGGCTTCGTCTCTCTGATTTCACATTAGCAGGTTGAATTTCTCGCGCCAACGTGGCCACCTACGGACGCCGACCTCTGCGTCGCAGTGGCTCTGCGATCTTACATTAGCATGCTACTCTCTCACATTAACATTAGCCACCCACGAACTTGTTGCGGACGCCACTCTCCGATCTTACATTAACATCACTAGCCCTGCCCACTTCGTTTATGACCCTAGGACTACACCCTATAAAAGTCTGCATTCAGCAGCTTTTCTCCTCTTTCCTCCTGATGACGATCGCTTGTGTTGTGATCGGAACGTCGTAGTTTTTTTTTTACCATCTACGTGAGTTTACCGAAAGACCCAAATAATGCAATATGATTCTGTTTGTTTGATGATCGCCGCACTGATGCGAATGTCGAATTACACACACTTCTTGCCAGATCACAATATGTATATTTTCAGTTTTTATTACCGAAGTTATTAGTCGTGAAAATGTGCAGTATTTTCCTTGTTTAAGTTGTATGTAGTGTATAATGCACCGCCTGTAATATTTGATTTCGAAATCAAGTTTAGCTACTCTTTTTGTCATGCAAACGATGCTGATCGCCAGACTGGCCTTTGAAGCGGTTTTGCCGTATCAGCCCGAGAGCCACCCGATAATTTTGCAATCCGGATAATCGACGTTAACTGTAATTTAAAAAGAACATTTCGATTTAAAGCTTTCGTGACTGCAGGGATTCATCTTCTTGGTTCTTTCGGTAAAGTCACGTGACTTTACCGAAAGAACCAAGAAGTTAAAAAGAACAGTTTAGTTTAAATATTGCAATCGATATATAAAACGGCAGATACACTTACGTGACGATGTCATAAAGCGTGCAGCCCACTTTGAGAATGGGGATGAGATCGCACGAACATCCGATAATCACATCCACTGTGTCTTGAACTGTGATTGTGTCCTTCAGCGCTAGTAATCCTACGTCAATCAGACATCCCAAGCCTGGCACTATTTTGCTCCACAGTGACCTCTTTGCAACTGAGGAAGGAGGGAGGAGGGAGGCAACACAGAAAAATAATGCGGTTAAAACGTGAAGACACCACCACTTACAAATATACCGCGGGTTCTACTGACCTGAAGACATTACCCTTAAAGTGCCAGGTAAACAAAAGGTGCCACGTAAACAAAAGGTGCCACGTAAACAAAAGGCGCCACGTAAACAAAAGGCGCCAGGTAAACAAAAAGTTTGTAAAGGCGCAACCCTGCATTTGTCTCCGGGTCCTCCGCTTTTTTTCCCCTCCACGTTGGTTGAGCTGCTATCATTTGTGATAGTCAGGTCGCTTCTGAGAATGAGCTGCATAGTAGCTCAGCAGTGGGCCTTACCTGAGTACAATAAACAATTGTTTTACTTCGTAGTATTTAGCTTTCTTCACGCCAACTGCTGGCAGAAGAGGGAGAGCTCTAGCCTAGTGGTTATTCTCAATATTTTTATGGCTACTACTGTACTACCCCCCCCCCGTGTTGCATTTAGCTTCAACAGAGTAGTAACCCCAACCTTGCCTGATCCAACACGGTTCTGAGAAACAAATGAATAGCGAACATCAATATTTTACCCAATTGTGATTTGAAGCTTTCGTGACTGCCAGAATCCATACTTTTTGGTTCTTTCGGTAAAGTCACGTAGGTATAAAATAAAATAAATCACGACGTTTCGGGCGCAACACAAGCGACCATCACCTGATGATGGACGCTTGTGTTGCGCCCGAAACGTTGTCCATTACCTGATGGACGCTTGTGTTGCGCCCGAAACGTCGTGATTTATTTTATTTTATATCTACGTTACTTTACCGAAATAACCAAAGAGTATTTTAACCAATTGTCCGTTTTGTGAGGTATCCTAAGTAGCTCGTAGTAACCGCAACCGAATGAAAACAACATTCAATGGACGCTTTGCACGCGTGACGTCATTTGTTTTTATGTTCGCTGGTTACTCTTGTAAACCAGCGTTGTTTACGATCGGTGAGTTGTAGAAATGTCTTTGATATCGTTCTGGCGATCGGTCATCGGTGACAAAAACAGAGTACCTCTGCTTAATTTCACTATTAAATATTATATGCAGTACATTATGCACTACATACAACTTGAACAATGAAAATACTGCACATATGTAGGACTGGAGTATAGCGCGCCACACATTTCCTTCCACTGTTGCTATGCAAGCGAGCAGAGTACAGTAGGGGGTATGTGAGGACACAGTTGTTGTTGTGGCTTTAGGTGAGTGGATCGTTAAGTGTTGAGACAGGTGTCGGGGTGGCCGGGAGGACACAGGCCAGCGATTGGCTGAGAAGGTAATTGGGTATTAGCTGGCGTCGCTCTGGTGGCAACAACAAGGTCACGTGACACCGGGGGCCAGGGGGCGAGTGATAAGCGGGGGGTTGAGATAATTAAGGGAGATTAATTGGTGTGGGGATATAAGCCAGAGCACAACGGAGAGACGAGAGTCTTGTCCTGGTCGGCGTCGTGGATGGAGCTGAAGCAACGGTGCCCGGGGAGTCGCAGAGCAGGCGGTAGCAGTATTAGAGTAGAGAGAGAGTGAGTTAGCGGCGACAGACGGAGTAAGGCATAGAGAGACAGGGATAGCGAGAACACAGTGAGCAACCAGGATAGCCATGCATGGGAAGGATGCAGTGTAGAGTAACCAGGGAGTCAATAGAACTAGCGAGTGAGAGAGACGCGGAGGAAACGCGGCGCGGCGAGAGAGAGACGCGGAGCGACGCGGAGCGGAGTGAGGGCACGGAGCGGTGGCGCTGCAGAGAGACGCGGAGTGGAGTGGGGCCGCGCCGAGATGCGGAGCGGTGGCGCGGCGGAGGTGGACTCTTAAGAGGAAAATAAAGAGGAGAGAAAGACAACCCGAGTACGAGTCCTACACATGTATTCATCAATCCATGACGCAGACTATTTGAGATTGGCGTAGTAAGGACGGTATATTTATTTTTGTCTATTTCAATGTTCATGCCAATTTCATAGCATTAACAAATTTAATAACACAAAAAAACACATACACCAACACCTACGAACATAACATTATGCAAGAATATGCAAAAATAAGCAATTGTAAACGATGACGATGATTAGTGATTATCCGCCGTTTTTTAAAATCCGGCACCCCCTCCCTCCCGTAGCCACCAGATCATTATAATCGATGATCGACTGGAGTCCTGACGTTCCAGTTGCCAGGGGCATGTAAAGGTAACCGATGGTGGATTCCTTGTTTCTCCCATTACCCAACCACCCGTCAATCTCCAGGTGCATCGACTAAGTGTGGCGGTGGCCACCGCAAAGGAATAACAATTGCACTTAAGGCATCGCTGAAAACCCCATCAGTTTACCCGTGTAATGTTGGGTGGAGTTCTGAGGAAGTTGCCGTTTGTTCCTGTTTTTATTGTCCGCTTTAAAATGTGTCGCTAAACCGAGCAGGCTGTTCGTGCACTGGTACAGGGCTTTCTCACAACCCCAGTCGAATGCACAGCAGGGTATTTGAGTCGACACGTAGGCGTTCATTGACACGCTCGTCGAGCCTCCAATTAGCCCCCCTCCTGTGGAAAAACGCAAACGAGCAGGTTTTACGAGCACGCATATTTTGTTGTTGTTGTCACGAACCATTCTCGAAGAAAATAAAAAGATTAAACGTTTTTTTAAAACACAGTACGCTTTTCTTGGTTCTTTCGGTAAAGTCACGTAGAATGGAAATAATAAAATAATAAAAATAAAACATAATAAATAATTATGTTTTATTTTTATTATTTTATAAAACATAATTAATTATTATGTTTCATTTTTATTACTTTATTATTCTTTCGGTAAAGTCACGTAGAATGGAAATAATAAAATAATGAAAATAAAACAATCATTTATTATAATAAAAATAAAACATAATACATTATTATGTTTTATTTTTATTATTTCCATTCTACGTGACTTTACCGAAAGAACCAAGAAGATGAATCCCTGCAGTCACGAAAGCTTTAAATCGAAACATAGTACGCTTTCAATAAGCAAATATTATCCATAATGAAGTCTTGTTGTTGGGCTAGATCGTGTTAAACGTAACTGTGTCATTAAATCCACCACCACCCCGACGCAGGCAATCACTAATGTTGTGTCACGTGAACCGAACGTTCCAATTGCTTCCCACTTCAGCACTAACCGGACATGTGTTGGAGAGCAAACCAACAACAAACATTTATAATTTCGGTTCACGAAGTTTTGCCGGCGATTAGAACAACAGCACCTCCGATTAGTACAGTTGGCTATGCATATATTGTCCAATGGGTTTCTCCCGCTTGACAAATAAATCTTAAATAGTGACAGTTAAAACTGTTACACATTCCGAATGATGATCTGTCTGTAATAACTGACCCAAAAAAAATTGCATATGTGTAGTGTTTGATCTGTTTTTCTGACTTTGAAGACGCAAAACGCGTACAAAAGGCACTCGGCATTTTTGTGTGATGCAAAAAAAACATCGGTAGCTTCGGAAGAACTGTACTGTGCAGTTGTTTTTGCGGTTCTTCAGTGTAGATCTTGTAAAAAAGAATCGGTTTTTTGCGAGTGGCATTGTTTTTCAGGGCTTTACCGATTCGATTACGGGTGTGAAAGCGTTCAGTTATCATCCACCGTGCCCACGTGATGACAAAAGCCGGCTACCTAAGCCCCGCGGAACTCTGAGAGACTTGTAAAAAGTGCACATTACCACAATTCACTCAATACGTCAATACTTCCAGGGACGAATACAAGTTGAACGGCCGTTATCATGATCCCACGCTGAGGCATGTTTTTGTTCTTCTTTCCAACTTGTTTTATCCATTAGAATTGTAAAAAAAAGAATAAACAAGCCATACGTACCTCCTAGACCATAAAAACCACCATAAGCCCCTCCTGAGACCCCTCCTGAGACGCCTCCTGAGACACCTCCAGTGTCACTCGTCAGAGTGCATGCTGAGGCTTCTGCTATGAAGGCAACAAAAGCACTGCGCTCGCTGTGAACACGCAGAGACAGAGAGAGACAGAACACCGGTCAGATAAACCAGAGGTTATCAAACTCGTGGGTCGTGACCCCAATTCATACCTGTCAACCCCTTATCAGTGCATACATGTGGAATATTAGGAATCGACCACTCTTTTAATGATTTTCTTGTGCAGCAAGGGAGTAAAGTGTGGTTTTTTGAAAGTCCTTATGAACTGTGCAGTATATCGATGAACGTGTGTACACCAGCATGCGATAACGGAGTTGGGCCTCTAGGGGGCTGGCAGGGTTATTGATTAATCGCACTTGTACACCAGTCACATGGTTAATAGCGACTCGGTTGAAGATTGCTGTGTGTGACACACGTGCTGTTGCATCTTACAGATTAACCACAATAAATCTGTTTGCCCTCGATTTGGAGCACCTGACCACGTCCTTAATTTCGAGTGTGCAACATACATCATCACATACCAATTCAGACCTTATTGGTCACCCCGTGCCCCTTATAAATTTCAACGTTTATTAACCTTAAAAATATATTTCCCTGCACAAGAATACGGGGTAAACTATATGGGTTGACAGGTATTCCACTGGGTTGGCTTGCGAGAGGTACTGGATGTTGGGGTGGGGGGGTTACAACTAGAACACATCACGGCGAAACGTTAACGATGTTGTTATATTCCCATTTCACCGGAAAATAATGACCCGACGTTTCTTTGATCTGAAAGAACATAAACAAAGAAGAGATGAGATCTGCTACTATACTTACCATTCATTAGAAATACATCACAATGCCCGTGTTTAAAATGCTCTGGTGCCAGACAGCTGCCACGGGCTTCAACTGACTGTCACCTCACCCGTGTCGTAGTAGTTCTACTGGTGGTGGTGGTGTGTGTACACTGCAGTGCATCTCAACCTGTTTCACTCCATGGCTCGCACCACACGCTCAATCTTCGCAGCTCACCGAACCGAAAGCTCACTGTGGGCCCGTGTGGGTTGGGTGGGTGAGTGGCTATGCATTGTAGCTGGGAGAAAATTCACAATCCCCAGGCTTATTACATATTTTAAAATCGGAACACGGAAATCAAGGGGTGTTGCCGAAATCCGCAACACTAATTTGTCCAAATGTGCGAGTATACATGAAATTTTCGACTTGCGAACTGCGGAACTATTTAGTTCGGCAAATGTACAATATTTATTCTCATTCATGAGTTGAACAACACCTTCCTTTTTTGATGAGCCATAAACACATTTTATAACACACACTGTATGTGCATTTAAATGCAGTGCATTATTGTGTTCCGACTTACGAACATTTCAACAATTGAACAGGTTCTAGGAACGGAAACCTGTTCGTAAGTTGGGGGACTGCCCAAATTCATGTCGACGTGTGTCTACGTGTGTGTGTCTGTGTGTATATGTGTGTATGTCTACGTGTGAGGTCTTGAGGGAGAGGAAATCCCTCAGCCTGGAAAACATCATGGGGCAAAGTGGGGATGACCCTGCTGAGGCTGCGGTGCCTAAAATATAGTAATAAGTAGACAACCCTTGGGAGTGGTTGGCTGAGTGCCATCTGTAGAGGAAGTACAGAAGGTGATCCAGAGTCTGAGACCAGGAAAAGCAATGGGCAGAGATGATCTCCCTAGCAAAAGTTTGAGGGAGAGTGGCGCTTGTGCAGAGACTGCCCTACATGGCATCATAATAACAGTCTGGACCACTGGATGGGTTCCACAGGATTGCAAAGATGCCCTGGTGGTCCGCCTCTATAAGAAAGGAGACCACACAGACTATAACACCTACAGGGACATCTCCCTCCTCAGTGTGCCAGGAAAGGTCCTGGCAAGGATTATTCAACATCGCCGTGCCAGGCATGCTGAGAAGAGGCTTGAAGAGCCCGAATGTGGTTTCAGGAAAGGGTGGTCCTGCATAGATGCCATATTTTCTGTCCGTCTGCTATAGCAGAGGTTTAGGGAATTGCAACAGGACCTACATCTCTGCTTTATTGACCTGGTCAAAGCCGATGACACCATCAGTAGGCCTGGGCTCTGGGTTTTTTTTCACGTTATCGGAGTCCCGGGGCTCTGAGAGGCACTGCTGCTGAACCTGGAGCGTGCCACGAAGGAGTTGGGCCTTACCGTCAGCCCACCAAAACTAAGCACCTGCCTGGGTATTTTGTGCCGTCAAACACTCCACCCCCACAACTCCCAATTGATGATGTGGTAGTTGTGGAGGGAGTGGAGAGTTTTCAATACATGGGCAGTGTGGTCAAGGCCAGTTTGACAGCAGAGGTCTCACTCTGAATCAGTTGAGCGGAATATTTTTTTCATCAGCTGCGTAATGCTGTGTGGAGGCTACCTGGTCTGTCGCTTTACACGAAGCTTCGGGTATTCTCAGCCACGGTCATGCCCTCCCTTCTTTATGCTTACGAAACATCGACCCACCTAATGGAACATGTTCGCTGGTTAAAAACATTTAGGCTGGCCTGCGTGCAATCAATCCTGGGGTTAACCAGGCTGGATTGTGTGAGGAGCTCACAAATCCTTGAAAGATCTGGACAAAATCCCATTGATGAGCTCTTCCGGCAGGCAAGGCTGCGTTTGCTGGATTATGTAGCCCGCATGCCCAGCCACCGCATGCCTAAACAGCTTTTGTTCGGTAGGATAGAGGGGGCTAAACGGGCACAACACGGGCTAGAGAAGAGATGGAGTGATGTGGTACAAGAGGATGTGGAGCTGAGTGGACTTGCCAATGACTGGTACTAGCGGTGTCAAGATCGGCCTCTATGGAGGAGGCTCGTGAAGGACACTAGTGGGCAGTTGGAGGCAGACACCCTCCAGCAATAAGAGGGCAGAGGAGCGACGCTGACAACGACAAGTGGAGTGCCGGGTGGCTAAAACACAGCAAGTTGGCACAGTAGGGGGCACAGGTGGTGTATCAGCTAGTCATCTCAGTCAGTCGACCCATGGCACCTGAGTCTGTCCCGTGACTTTCTGCCAGCGGGCGTTCGACACTTCACGTGGCCTTAACGTGCACATATCCTGACACAAGCACCGTGGTGACGTCACCGTCACTTAGTGGCAAATGGCGGTTGTTGTTCTTGGGTCTACGTGTGTGACTACTTATGCGTGTGTGCTCATCTGCGTGTATGTGTGTGTACGTGTGCGTAGGTCGACGCAGCCTTAAATTAGTACCTGGTGTGGTGTGTAAACATTGCTAATGGGCTGACAAAGGCGGCCGGGCGTGGTATTGGCCACCCACCCCCTCGTGTGCCACAGTGCCGGCCTCCATAGGTGCTACTCGTTACAACACTTGCCCCAACAGTCTGTTAAGGTTATACGGGGGATATTTTTCTTTGTGTGTGTGTTTGTACGGGGGGGGGGGGGGGTCTCCGTGTATTGGTATACATTACCGAAGTTCACCACATTCGTAGTAGTAGATCATTTGAGCAGAGTAACACGTGATCGTTGCCCTTTTACTTCTGGTTGTGGTTGAAACGTTCACTGGAATGAGCACCGACGTCATGGCTTCTACATTCCCAATAGTGTCTATCATCTGCAACATAAAAATGCAACACGCATATAACGTGGTATGTTACATAAATTACAAATGTATTACCCCTTTTATTCCACAATAGCCTCTTACCAAATCACCATGGATGCACTTGATCAGTGGTTATTCTCAACCTTTGCTAGCTACTGCTGTACCCACCTTGTTGAATTTAGATACAATCCGTGCCAGGTGGGTAGGCAGCAGAGCCCGCGGTCGGAAAGGTCCAAGTTAATTTTCTGATTGGGGTGGGGTGCGGGGTTTGACTCAGCTCCATCATGCATTGCGGGGTTGATAAAAAAGGTACCATTTTTTTGGGAAATCATCAGATGGTTGTGCTATAAATATAATTTAACCTGCCATACGAACGTGGAATTTTCACCCCTGCTTCAGGGCTCTATGCCAGTGGTTCTCAACCTTTCAATTGCTACTACTGTACCCCCCTTGTTGAATTTAATTTTCAACCGAGTTACCCCTCTCTTGCCTGACCCAATGTGGTTCCGAGAAATAAATGTCACAAATAACGAACATCGATATTTTAACCAATTGCCCCATTTTGTGAGATATCCTAACTAGCGAAAAGTAACTGCAAGTGAATAAAACTAAATTCAACTTACGCTCTGCACACGCGATGTCATTTATTCGCGCTCACTGGTTACTCTTGTCAACCCGAATTGTTCACGATCGGAGAGTATAGAAAGGTCTTTTATATAGTTCTTGATTACCATACGGATTTAAATGGTATCATAGTTATTTTATTCTAATTCATAAAGCCTGTCTTTGCCAGGCAAAAGTTGTCAATACATTTAATTATTAAACTCATGATTTTTGCAGAATTTTTATTGTGTAACACTCAAGAGGTTACATCTTGACTTAAAGCTTTCGTGACTGCAGGAATTCATATTATTGGGTCTTTCGATAAAGCCACGTAGATAGATCAAATAATAATAATAAAAAATAACAATATCACGACGTTTCGATCGCAACACAAGCAATCGTCACCAGGTGAGAAATATCGCGGGAGAGCTGCTGAGAATATATGGTGGGAGCCCTGCTAAGGTAAGGAGTTATAAAGGTTTGGGATGGGTGTAGCTCAAGGGTCAGTGGGAGGGGCTTGTCAAGATTTACCCAATCTTACATTTACATGCAAATTTAATCTCTAGCCCCTGCCACTGACCCTTGGGCTACACCCATCCCAAACCTTTATAACTCCTTGCCTTAGCAGCGCTCCCACCATATATTCTCAGCAGCTCTCCCGCGATATGTCTCACGATTGTTTGTGTTGGGATCGAAACGTCGTGATATTGTTATTATTTTATTTTTTATCTTTATTTTTTTATTATTTGATCTATCTACGTGGCTTTACTGAAAGACCTAAGAATACTCAAGAGGTCCAAAATATTTCGCTATGTCATTCCTTGTTATTTGTTACAGTATGGATTTAAATGTTATTGTAGTTATCTTATATTGGCAGATTCACACAACATGATTATTCACCAGTGACTATAACATACGATATAATTTGACGCATTTGTAGGGGACGGTATAGGGAAATTATTAAATGTACACGTTGAAATAATTAATAACAGGTGGCCGTAGGGTACTTCATAGGGAATTCATTAAATACACACGTTGAGTTAATTGGGAACAGGTGGCCATAGGGGACTGTACATGTTGAGATAATTAAAGACACGTGGCAAGTCAGGGTGCAGGACACTACCCAATTAAGGGTAGGGCCTAGAGGGTATATACACCGAGCGAGGCCCCCAGTCGGGGCACTTGCCTGGGACAAGAAACTACAAGGTGGAAGACATTCGGGGCTGACTGTTCGCGGAGCTGTATCTACATAGTTATTACGAAAATAAAGACTTCACCTTTTTATAATGGACGTCTCCAAGGAGCTTCTTTACTCATTTGTAGAGGAGTATTGTGAGTAACCAATCAGGGGGCGAACAGAAGGAGGTGCGAGCGGGTTGACAGTCAAGGATGACGTAACTTTATGGGTTGCGTAACGGGCTTCGGAGAGCACCTTTGGGAACAAAGGTGGAGCCGAGCTGAGGGGAGGAGCCACCCAAGGGGTTATTAAGGGGGACCCCGTAACGAAGGCGTGGTCATCATGGGGAGCCAGGGTAAGAATCGGCTGAAGAGGGTCTCTCTCTTTGTCATGGAGCGGTGTTGGCTGAATCTCTGCTCTGGGCAGACGAGTGGAAGAGTCAAGGGGGTCCCATAGTATTCAGTAAAGGGTCGGCTGGAAGAGGGTCTCTCTCTCCTCATCACGGAGCGGTGTTGACTGAACCCCCGCTCCAGGCAGACGAGTGAGAGAGCCCAAGGGGTAGCCGAGGGTAGGACCCAAATAATATTTGGTGTCCTGGGTAAAGGACCGAGATAGAGTGCACCTACACTGGTGTGAGTGTGACAGTGGTTTAATAAATGGCAACAGCCCTTATAGTATTCCTCGTCTCCGTGTGAGTCTACCGTACAAGACATTTATAAAACACCTCAACGTTATCCTCTGGGAAATTGCCACGTTACCCCTCCCTGGGGTCCGCCACGTACCCCCGATTAACAATTGCTGCTCTAGATGGTAGGGGAGTTATCTAGCTTCATTCTACACACTGGCAGAGCTGATGGTGTGAACGCACTATGCATCCAGGGTTGGAAAGCGTTCATAAACATAGCTGGTATGATGCTGGGGGCGACTGATGCCCCTTCTGCGTCTTTGATCGTCGTGCACAGAAGGGAGTGTGCGCTGTGGTGCCCATCAGAATCGATCAGAAGCTGACCCTGGCCAGAGAGGCCGTGAAGGCGACGCTGGAAATCACCAACTCGGCTTCTCCTCTCGAGCGCATCGACGTGAAGATCACCGTCAAGCGGCAAGACAATTCCAACCGCCCATGTTGAGATTCACTAGTGTAGTGTATAGTAGTGTGGAGTGTATATTGACTCGTGTATGATATAATTTCACACGTTTATAAAATCACCCCATCGTGAACCCCCTGAGATATTGCCATGTTACCCCCAAGGGTCCGTGTACCCCCCAGTTGAGAACCACTGCTCTAGATCTTGTAAGGTCTCGAACGCTCACCAGGCATGAGCCTGGATAGGGCTTGGATGAGTGACCACCCAGGCATAACAGGTGTTATAGGCTGAGGGGCTACAAGGTGGGCTACAGATTGCAGTTCCAGGAAATGCGTTGTTGTGCAGTACAGCGATACCACCCCAGTTTACGTTGGGGAAGTCGTTTCTGAAAGGTGCGACGATGATGGATATCAAAACGACGTAAATCGAAGCGATTTTTCTAAATCACCAAAATGCCGTATGTAAATAACATATTGTACTCTACAGCACGGTACATTTCTTTATAAGTAACACAAAGTAGTTTGTATGCGAGGGTAGTAGTAGTAGGTGGTGGTGGAGGCGAATGCTGAGAGTAGGCAATGGATAACGAGAGGACGAAGCTGTCGGCAATGCTAGTGTGGGGTTAAGGCGACGCGAATCAGGTGGCGGTGTTAATAATAATGTGATGACGGATATTGAAACTACACAAATCGAAGTGGCGTACATGGGTAGAAGGTGGTGGTGGAGGCGAAGTCTGAGAGTATGCAACGGATAACGAGAGAGGACAGGCGACCATGCTGTCGGCGACATGAGTGTGGGGTTGCGGTGACCGCTAATTGAGTAGCTGTGTCAATCCGTTCCCGTTCCGATGATGTACATGTACAGTAAAACCTTGGATTGCGAGCATTATTCGTTCCGGAAACGTGTTTGTAATCCAAAGCACTCGTATATCAAAGCACTTGTATATAAGTTGTGATCACGTGACGCTCGGCAGACAAAGCGTATACGTACTACTCATATTGCAAGACCTTGCTCGTTTATCAAATTAATATTTACTTACATTTTTTGCTCGTTTTGCAAAACACTCGCAGACCAAGTTACTCGCAATCCAAAGTTTTACTGTACATCATCAGTTTCTCTTCCGATTCCGTTCCGATCAAGCGGAACCAAAAATAAAATAACTTTGTCGATATCAAGGCTCCCACCCACAAGGGGCATGTGGCGCATTTTGGCATTAGCTATAGGTGAGTACAGTACAACGTCTTGGGGTCATGTTCATCTGACAATATGCAGTACCTATTACCAGTTGGGTTAGTCACAGTTAATCAACATACAGTAGAACCCCTCTTAACAACCACCCCTGTTAACGACTAATCACTTAACGACGTGCCTATGTAGAACCCAATGCGTTCGCTTACCGACCATTCCCCTTTTTAACGATGGGCTGTTGTACGTACAATAAATATTAATTAATGCATTCATTATCCATGTTTATTTTAATATTATGTGCTTATAATGTTGTTAGTGTCTTTACGTATTAATATAAAAAAAAAATTATGAGGTAAAGTTTTTTTTCGGTGAAAAAAGGGTAACTTTCGATGCTATCAGATCGAATTAAGCCTTTAACATGTATTACCTATACAGGTAGTGTCCAGATTACGGAAGGGTTAGGTTCCCGAGAAATATCCGTAACACAAATTTTCCGTATGTCTGAAACTGAACAATTTTGCCCCAAAATCAAGATGAAATCCCATAGCTGGAAATAGTTGAGCCTCCCCTCCCGACCGAAACTGAACTTATGGTTTCGGCGGAAACCGAAACCAGAAAGTTTAACTATACAGATGTGACGTCACCGCTAACTTGCCGTGCAAAATATATCCATTATTGCGCCTCCCCCCCCCCACAAAATACAAAAGTATATTTTTATACTCTTTGCATTGTGTAGAGTCTGGAAGCTACCCACATGCCAAATTTTAAGTTTGTTGCATGTCGGGAAGTATGCTAAACACAAATTTCCCTTACATATATATAGATTATGTTAATATGACAATACGTAGTAACCTATTGCTGGGTTGAGTTAGTTGCTAAAACTCCGCTGACCTTGGTAAAGACAAGGCTGGGGTGCTTGGGTAGAATCAGCTGCACATTGTCCGCCCTGATGAGACCGTGGTTGGTGATGTTGAACACAATCTGTTCAATCACGCCCAGCAGCAGGTCATCCAGCTTGACCTCGCGGGGTTCTATCGTCACGACGGGCTCTGGGACCTGTTGAAAGGTGGCAGCAACCGCGGCAGCGAATGAACCACAAACGGGGAGGGAAAAATCACGCCAATGCAAGAATTCTGTTCATCCGTAGTTCATTGTAATTAAAGTGCAGTAGACTCTTAATTATCCGAGTGCGGTTTATCCGATTTACGAATTAACCGCATGCACAATGAGATTTTTACATGCATTAATAAGATTATTGTTTTTTTACCCTTTTATCTGGCAACAAAACTGACACCTTTTTTACGAGGAGTCATGTTTGCATAGACCACAATACCTGCAGTCATAATGCAAAAAAAACATAACTCTGATAATATATGCACTGTCCTTGAAGTTGATTGGTCCACACCTGAGACAGCTTTCCTTAGAGCCTAGTCTCACATGGGTTGGACCAAATGACGCCAAAAGGCGCAGTGGTCCAACCCATGTGAGACTAGGCTTTAAAGGTACCAATGGTATGAATTAATAACTCATGGATTTTCCCTTGAGCCCAAATGAATTATTCTAAAAACAGTTACACATTGTTATTCTTGGAAATGTTTATTCCAAGTCACGTGGTGCTTAAACTGAACAAATATATTGCTCCGGTTAATACGAAATCCACGTGATCGCCTTCACAGGACAGAAGATATTGATTGGCGTGGCTTTGCTGCTGTCCACTTAGTGGGCTGAATCTTCTGCTGGGCGGGAGCAGGAAAGTGTTATTATCACGGAGCATGGGTCAATTGTTAGTGGTTGTTATAAATCGAAAGAGAAATCATAAAAATATTTTCCGAACTTAAACATTATTTATACCTACGTTCGTGGCTTTTGGTAGAGATCCGCAGAAAATGTATATTTTTAGGATTATCCGCGATTTTGAATTATTCATAGCTGCCCTCCCGACTGTTATCCTATGAAGAATAACCTTATTGGAACGAAGCACGGTTTAACATTTGGTTGAACCCAGCATCTAAAACTACATAACTATTATTTTTTAACCAGATAAAGCCCACTGAGCTGATATGGTACAGTCTATTGTCAGGAAAGGACAACAAAAGGACCGAATTTACACCCCAGATTGACCACGTTAAATTGTGGGCAGCAGAAGGCGATGCAGTATAATAGCATTATTGTACTATTTTCATATGCCTCCAACATCTATGCTGCCCACCTTCACGAATGTGCACCATGACCAACTAAATCAATGCTCGGGACTCGCGGTGACTAGGAGATGTTAACTCCCTCGCCTGGTATGCAGGAGATTGTGGGTTCGTTCCCGATCCTGATGTCTGTTGTAGAGGCCGATCGAAATTCGGTTTCGGTTTCGGCGCCGAAAGTTGGCAAATGGCAACTTTCGGCATACTTTCGGTTTTGGCCGAAAGTAAATTTTTTACTTTTGGAGATCTTTTCTCCAAAATTCTAAACAAAAATTCTAAACAAACATAAGATCCAAGTCCGATTCAGTACAGTGTATAAAATCCGTGATTTGATTCCATCTGTGAAGGATGTCGTTCCTGACTTACAGTATCCTGGAGCCTACAAATTGAGTTGCATTTGTGGTGATTGCTACATTGGAGAAACGAAACGTCATGTTTCTGATCGTGTCCGCGAGCACAAGTCAGATCTGAAACATGGCAGAACTGATTCTTCGGCCGTTGCCGATCATTGTCTTTTCCGAGACCAAGGTTCTCTGCAAACCTCCTGGCTACCATCAAAGGTTTTTACACGAAGCCATACAAATATACAAACACAGACATAATTTCAACCGTGATGACGGTTACAAACTGAGTAATCATTGGAAAGATGTGATTAACCATGCAAAAAAGATTTAACTACACTTATTTGCCAATCTTATTTGACAGACAACTATTACAGTTTTACCATGTTTAGTAGTTGTCTCCCTGTCACAGGTTGAGTCACAAACCGTACCTCTCCATAACAAAGGCTCAGCCTTTGTTATGCAGTCTATTCTTAGTCTTAAGCCTCACCTTACCATATTAATAAAAAGTATGCGGCCCTTGCCCCACCACCTTCTCCAACCATTATATAAACGGAGTGGTAGCTCCTGCAATCTCTCATTTACTTGATACAGCTGTCGTGGCTGGGACGGTACCACCTGAAGACGGAAGCTTGTGTTGCCTCCGAAACGTTGTGATTTTTATTTTATTTTACTTTTTAATGTTTTTACCTGTGACTTTACCGAAAAAACCTAAGAATATGAATCCTTGCAGTCACGAAAGCTTCAAATCTAGAATTAAAGCCATGTATCAACTCAGTGGCGGGGTTTTCCACTATTGCGAAATAAAAGTTTAGTTTTAGTTTGAATAGTGGACGCTCATGCAGCTGTGGACTGACAGAAGGACCTGTAAGTGCGCTTGCGCACTGCATATACGGATGTGCGGCTAACATTCGGTAAGACAGATACTACACTACCACACACACGCACACCAAAAAAACCATACAATATAATTATACAAAGGCATACTGCCATGGTGTAAAATGGCCAGTGACAATGAACTTATGATCCGGCGGTCAATCTCCGAGCATCTTCGCTCACGTGTGTTTCGAAGTCTGCTTCCAGCGTGATGATGTACTCGTCTTTGAACGTCGTCATTTGCACACTCCAAGTGTACACGACTGCTATCCGCTGAAGGAAAATGGTGAGCTGAAATGAAATGAAAACAAACCGAACACAACAAACAATGCAGGAGAACGTTAACGGCAGCATATCCGGTGATGTTGATAATAATAACACTATGTAACACATTTTTTGTTCCTGGGTAGTAAGTGTTATTTCGATTTGAAGCTTTCATGACTGAACGAATCCATACTCTTTGGTTCTTTCGGTAAAGTCACATAGGTATAGAATAAAATAAATCACGACGTTTTGGGTGCCTGAAACGTCGTGATTTCAAGAGAGCTGTTTCTATAACCAACGCACCATCAAGCATTTAGAAGCTAGCAGCCAGTTGCTCTCAAAATGCTCATTAAAGGGGCGGTCACTGATTGGTTGAGGTCTGCTAATTCCCACTTAGGGAGCGCTCCAATTGGCCGAAATCGACGGCCCCCACGTGATATCATAAATTTATAGTTAACAGAAACAATGGGGACCCCTACAAGAGGCGGATCATTAATCAAAATATCGTTAATCTATGGCATTGTAAACTGAGATACCACTGTAAATAAGAATATTTTCAACTTATCAGTGGCGTAGTGACTACATTATTAGCTCAGGGGGTGCGGCCATCGATCAGGTGGGAGCCACCCAATATTGTGTATGTGTAGTGACGCCGACACACGTTCTTGCTTCACTAAGAGCCTTTATTTTGGACACAACGCTATTCCTAGACCCGGGCTTCGGTTCTTGATCTTCGAACTTCGTCTTTTCTTCAACTATCCCCTCCCCACGTGCCATCCCCTTTTATATCCTCTGAGCACCCCTTTCTGGAAGCTTCGCTCACCCCATTTCTCTCAACCAATCCCCGTTCCCCTTCTCCAATGGCTGTGAACTGTTTCCCCTACAGTCAACCCTCGTTTCCCAGGCTTTTACGATGGCATTTCTCCTCCAATTCCTCTGGTTCTCTTATCCTAACTCAATCGTCTTTGAGGCCTCCCTGCACCAATCAGAGGCCTTGATTGACTTCCTGACTGTCCGTTTGCACATACGTTATGTCAGGTAAGTGGTCTGTTGCCTCGGTCATTACATATGTATGTTGAACTACTTTCGCGCTATTCGTAGCCAACTGTGCTAATCAGAGCATGGTTGAGTGTGCAGGGTGAGTGACTATGTGAGCGGGTGAGCGACTATGCGAGCAGGCCAGCGACGATGCGAGTCTATGCACAGCCGTATTCACATGCGTGACCGTTCTGTAGTGACAGTACCTGCGAGTTGTGGTTGGAGAACACTGCGACCCCGTAGTAGGGGACGTGACGTGGAGCCTCCACGTATACGTCGTACTGGTCCTCTGTCACGTTGGAGAAAGTCGCCGTCCCTGGGGAAAAAAAAATGTCCGTCGCAAACCGCCGAACGTGCTTCATTAAATCGGGCACGCAACTTTCAAACGTGGACTACTTTGCCATGAAAACCGTGTGTCACAAGCCCCAACTAGCCAATCATGGGATCAGTTACAGGACACTTAAAAGCCTCAGCAACTTCAAGCCCCTACTGCGGCCTGGCAAAGGAGCTGTGCACTTTGAAATCATTAAGATTAAAAGATAATTTCTTTAGAACTGCGTTGTTGTGTTTAGTTTGTTGTCCTTCCCCTGCCTCTACGATGAGCGCGGTTGGCTATGTACGGCGTGAAAGAAGTTAAACATAGATACATACGTACTACACTACACACTACATACTACACTACACGATACATTACTATACATGACACTATACACTACACCACTATACTTTTTGTGTGTTACAAGTAAAAAATATCATGATACAGTGGTGTTAACCAGGCCAGCCACTAGACTTCCATTTTATCAGGTGGCAAATGCACTACCTGCTCGGCCTCATCTCCACGTATAAAATAAAGCCGGTTATGCGATATTTGCGTTATAGTACATTCCACGTGCTGTGCCACTTATTTAACCATTAAATTGTAAAAACCACGGCAGCAGCAGTAGATGCAGATGATACCTGATGATGCACAAATGGAAAATGTAAAAACTCTCCAGTAGTCATCGTGCGACCGTGGTCATCCAGAACAGAGACTGAACAACGTGTGATGACCCAATGTCCTGATCCACAAATACGAAGGAGACATCACAACGATGTTTATACAACTACTCCTCCTGACACGGTCATCTGTGGCTTGACCACCCGAATGTGAATTTTTTGTTGTTGCCTCTGAAATCTACATGAGCCTGAACGCAAGAAGAGAATACCCCTACCCCAATCACTAACCCTATCAAAACCCCTATTACCACCCCTATCACCTCCCTAATCACCACCATAATCACCACCCCAATCACCACCCCTATCACCACCCCTATCACCAGCCCTATCACAACCCCAGAACAGAAACCGTAGTACAACTTGTAATGACGCTACGCCCCGATCCACAAATATGAAGGAGACATCAGAGCAATAATGATACACCACTCCGCTAATGCTCCTGATGCCGCAATCTGCGGCTTGACCACACTGAACGTGACATCGTAGTCGTTGCTCTAGATCTACTACATCAGCCACCATACAACAAGAAGAACAAGAAGAGCATTAAACCTGCACCCACCGTTGCCTTCCGCTGTGCTCTTTGCGAGGCGCATGCCACGGGAAGGGTTGTTGAGCAGCACTACGGCATTGGAAACGAGGGGGTGGCCCGCGGCGAAGTAGGTGTACTCGTCTTCCACCTTCACCTCCACAGATAGCAGCTGGCTGCAAACACCGCCGCCGCCACAGCCGAGTTGAAAAAGGGCATCAAGAGGGGGTTTCTCGGTCATGCAGAAGTCAGCACAAACCTGAAAGGGGCCCGCCGCGTGATGCGCTTTGCCCGTCCTTGTTAGACGGCCGGCCAAAAGCCGCTGCTGCTCCTTGGTGCAAAGATTCCCCATATAGGCTTAGCAGGTTGTTGGGGCAAGTGCTGTTAGCAAGTAGCACCCATGAAGGCCAGCACGGCACACGAGGAGATGGGTGGCCACAGCACTACCCCCGGCTACCTTTGTCTCCTCAGTGGCGATGACTTTACACACTGCACCAGGACTGGTTCAGATCATCATCACTGGTGGCGTTAGCAGGAATCAAATTCGGGTCGCTGGGTTTGTAGCGCAGCCCGCTAACCAGTGCACTCCTGTTCCTGAATACAACAACAACCACCATTCGCTACTAGGTGACAGTGACATCACCACGGCACCTGTGCCAGGCTATGTGCACTTTAAGGCCAAGTGAAGTGTCGAACGCCCACTGGCAGGTGGTTACGGGTACAGACCCAGGTGCCACGGGTTGACTGAGATGACTTGGCCGATGCACCACCTGTGTGTCCCCTGATACACGCACACACTCGTGTGTGTATATATATATATACAGTAGAACCCCTCCGATTAACGACGGTAATTGGTTCCAGGAAACCGGTCGTTAAGTTAATTGGTCATTAAGCGAGTATAGGAAATACATATTAAAGGCTAGAATTCGTTCCAATAGCATCGAAAGTTACCTTTTTCACCATAAAAACGTACTTTATATTTAGAAAATTTATATTAATACTTAAAGATACATTACAAACTCATACTATTAGAATAATCATGATTAATCAATGCATTAGTTAATATTTCCTGTCCCTACAACAGCCCATCGTTAACAGGGTAATGGTCGGTAAGCGAACACATTGGGCTCTACGTAGGCCCATAGTTAAGCGATTAGTTGTTAACAGTGGTGGTCGTTAAGAGGGGTTCTACTGTATACTACTATACATGACAATACTATACACACTATAAACTACTATACACTACACTAGAGACTACACTATACATTACACTACACACTGGGCTCTGTGGAGGCCTGTCCTTAAGCGATCAGTCGTTATAAGTGGTGCTCGTTAAGAGGGGTTCTACCGTATCTAGATAACGTACTCGGAGGAGACGACGATGGTGAATGACACAGTCGTCGAGGTCTCGGTGGAAGCGACGTAAAATCTCCCGGCGATCTCCCCCAGCGGCTGGCTCTCCGGCACGGCGATGGAGAGCACGAGGGCGGCCCGCTCGCCATGGGCCAGGCTGAGTGGCGGGGCACCGTCGCTCTGCCGGGAGCCGTTCTTGGCGAAGCTCACCAGGTAGAGGAGGTCTCCACCGGGTAAGGTGATGCTCACTTGGTCGGCCGTGACCTTGCCCGTGTTAGTCACTGACAGCTACGCAACGACACCAATAATTAAATGGTATAAAAATGTAATGAAATAAAAATACATCTCAATGTTAATAGGACGACTCTGCTTTCGATGCCTTCATCACTACCCTCTTTTTCGCAATCTCAATACAGTGGTTCCCCTGTGTATACATGGCTTCGGTTCCCCTGTGTATAAATGGCTTCGATGATTCATAGATTTTTCAATTGGGTCCTTTGGCCGTATCGAAGCTCAAATGACCGCAGCAGATTTTACACAATGCATTTTTTTATTTTTAAGATGGACTGCCTGGGCTCACAATGCAAAAAAACATAAATCGTGAACACATTACCGGCTTTAGCAGAAACATCTTAAAGCAGCCGTCAAGAATAATGACGAGTTAAAATTATAATAAAAATGTATAATGCGCATTCCATCCTAGAATCGCAATATGTGAAAACCAGGAGAACAAGAGTCACTGACCAAAGTAAAGAGTGAATGCCACCTTAAAGAGATGGGTTTTCAAATCAGACTGAAATACATCTACCGGCTCTGATTGCCTGATTTCAAGTGGCAAGGCGTTCCATAGCTTGGGTGCCATGCTAACAAAAGCCCAATCACCAAAAGAGCGCAACCTAGACCTGGGAGTGAAGAGCAGTTGGAGATCAGAATATCTTCAGGACCTTGATGGAATATATCTGGAGTTCAGTTTCAGTTTCATTTATTAGGTATAACCCTCTGAGCCATGTGGAACTTGACTCGGGTGCAACCGCAACAAACAAAAACATGAACAAGAAACATCTTAAAGTGACTACACGCAACAGAAAAATCCAGGAAAAAACAGCCAAGTCTTTCAGAAAAAACACCGTATTTCAACGCTGTGTGCAAAAATCCCAGTGGGGTGCAAGTAAAACAATAACAACCATAAGACAATGTAGATTAAAGTTATCAGGCTAACTCTGTACTACAACAAACATGGCTAAACCAAAAGTTTTCTAAATCACCAAAATAAAGCTATAAAAACAATGTAACATTGATCATAGGAACTGTGATTCAAATTTAACAATAAACGATATACATAACATGTATGACTAAACTCATGCAGCCATAACAGCAGGAGTATCAGTAGCAGAATCAAAAAATTTCAATACACCTTTAAAGATCAGCACACGATAATCAAAACTCAAGATCATACTTTTCAGCGGTCATGATACACTTGATTTCAGGCCATTCTGAATAGCAGTGGCAGCTAGGGGTGTCCAACTCCTCTAGAGCAGTTTTGAGTGAAGATCTCACAGGTAGTGATCCAAGTTGCAGTTTATTGGCCATCGCATTCCAGACCCTAGGGGCATCAATAGAAAAGGCCCTTCCTCCAGTATTTGTACGGCAATAAGGAATGTGAAGCTGGTAAATGAGCGAAGACCTTCGGTCACATTTGTTCTTCAAAACAGTGAGGAGATCCAGCAGGTAGTCTGCTGATGTTTTTGTAAGTAAATCGTTAATAAATAAGATCTGGTGCACAATCCGTCGATCATTAAGAGAAGTTAAGTTTGACCCAATACAGAGATCGCAGTGGTGGATCCTATATGGGCAGTTCAATGCAAATCTTAAGGCCGAGTGATAAATTGAGTCAAGCTTCTTCAGTATAGTACTGGGGGCTGATTTATATACAATGTCACAGTAATCAAGTAGAGGCAGTATGGTAGCTTTTATCAATTCCAAGCGTAACATAGGGGGGAAGCAGTGCTTGTGTCGATACAGAAAACTAATTTTTTATTTTGTCTTTTACCAATATAATCAATGTGATCTTGAAAATTCAGTTTTGAATAAAAGATGACCCCGAGATACTTATAAATCTTGACTTGCTCTATTTGATGATTATTTAAGGAATATAATTGGGGGGAAAAAGCATCCTGCTTTACTCCTGGTGAGAAGCATAGCACCTTGGTTTTGGAGATATTCAGGACGTTTAAGTACAACGAGCTGATGTTGTAGTTTGATGAAATCACCCTGGAGCTTAGCAATCACGTCATCCAGCAGTAATCAGGAATGATCCAGGTCAGTGCCCAAGTCATTGACATAAAGAGAGAACAAGAAGGGCGAGAGGATGGAACCCTGTGGAACCCCTTTTGTTATCTTAATGCTGTTTGACCTCCAACCATCTATGAATACAGTTTGGGTGCGAGAAGAGATGTAAATTTTTAACCATTCTACTGCGTGTTTGGAGAAATGGAGGTAACTTAGTTTACTAAGCAGGGTGTTGTGGTCGACTGTATCAAAGGCTTTGGACAAGTCAAGAAAAAGAAAGGTGCAGTACTGCTTATTATCAAGGCTACTGTAAATGTGATTCAAAGAGTCTAATGCAGCAGATGTGGTGCTGTATTTTTTTTGGAACCCAGATTGGTTTCGATGTAATCGATTGTTGTCGAACAGAAAACTGCTAATTTGGTAGCTCAATAATTTTTCAAAAATTTCATCAACGGGGACAAAATTGAGATAGGTCGGTTGTTATTTGGATCATCTTTAGGGCCCCCTTTGTGTAGTGGACAAACATAGGAATGTTTCCATTCTAGAGGTACTGATGCTTCTTTGATGGACAGGTTGAAAATATGGGCTCTAGGTTTGTATATTAGGTGACCAACAGTTAAGAGCAAAGACGGGAATACTATCCGCTCCGGTAGAGGAGAACCTTTTGAGGTAGGACAGTTGTTTCAGAACATTACTTTCGTGGATAGGCTGGAAACTAAATTCGTTTAATGTTTAGACAGAGATGTAGGAAATTGCATGAGCAGGGGTGACTCCCAATACATTATCAAAAAGGTCACCAGCTTCAGAAAAATGAAGGCTAATATTGTCGACTATTTTTTGGGGCTCTGAAAAATAGTCCCCATTTTGGTTAAGTGTAACGGGCAGATCATCTGTATTAGATGCCTTTTCGATACATTTGATTGTTTTCCAGAAGATCATGGCATTGCCATGTGATTGCATCCAACAGGGAGATGGGGCAATACCAATTAGCTGAGTGTTGTGTGGGCTACGTTGCATAATTACTTTGCAAGTTTTTGAGGGATGGCAACTGGCTTTGGGAGGCCTTTGTCCAGCGGTGGATTGAACATGGCCGATGATGCAATTCGCCATGCAACAGCAGCAGCGGTGTGAGTTGACCTTACCTCTGCTAAGGAAGGCTTTCCTCTGAGCACCCGCATGCTCAGTGACCCCGGTTGAACTTCAATGTTGGGCAGTGAGTATTTGTAGTCGAGGAAAACTGTCGCCGTAGTCTCGGTTCCCAGCTCTGAATGCGCTCTGTCACACACACAAAACACAAAGATTCCGCGTTTATTCCATGAACAGACTGTTGGGGAAAGTGCTGTAAGCGAATAGCACCTACGAAGGCCGGCATAGCACACGAGGGGGGTGGTTGGCCAACACCATGCCCGGCCGCCTTTGTTTCCCCATTGGCGACATTTAAAATTGGAGTACCGTGACGTTTCACCAGTAATTACAACAACCAACATCATCAGGCGACAGCCAGAGTTGTGGAGAAATCCTCCCCCTGTTTTGGTCTTAATAACTTACCTTATAATAAAATACGCTTTGAAAGCATGGGGAGCGACTATCCAAAGAGAGATGGGCACTGCGCTTCCTGGGCGCAGGGTCTCCAGAAAGTTTGAGCCATTTTGGAACGAGACGTTCGACTTCAGAAATGAAAGGCGATCTGGTATCTGCGAAAGGGAAAATTATTGTTGAAACAAAGAATAAAAATAAATCGCGTGCACACACGTGGATTTTGTACCACTTTTCAACATTTGCCCTTGAAAGGATTTAATTAGCGATATTATAAAGCCATTTCGTTATCTTTCAAGTTGCATGATGAGATGATGAAGAGGCTTGAGCAGTGTTTTTTTTTATTACAGCAGTCCCTCGGTGAACAGTGACATCATCGGGTTCACAGTTTTTCGGGTTAACGTTTCGCATCCCTTTGGGACCCCCATGGTTTCAATTTAACATTATGAATTGTGATGTAACAGTAACATGTTTATGTTTATGCACACGGGCGCCAATTTCGGCCAATCGAGCGCTCGTAAGTGTGGCTGAGCCATGACCTCGGTCAATCAGCGACGCCTATCTGTGAGCGTTTATATCGCGACTTTCTTTGTTTACATACTTGTGTTTTCTGTCTTGGCAGTGGAAAAAGCTCTCTCGTGCAAACTCGGTGATGTTACTTTTTTTTCAACTTATAAGTGCATTAGATTCACAGTTATTTGGTTAACAGTAATTATTGTGGAGCGGATTAAAACGTTAACCAAAGGACTACTGTACTATTAATATTATTGCCACGTTATGGGAAAACCTGCGGTCAACCAATTTGGCCAGAATTCCACTTGGCAAGTCCCAAACAGCAACGCAAACTTAAGCTACGCCACGGATTTTTATTTTTAGATCGGATACAGCTGGGAGTGTACAGTAGGGCTGAACGATTTGGGGAAAATATCTAATTGCGATTTTTCTGACAGATATTGCGATTACGATTTGATTTGCGATAAACATTTTAAAATCAAGCTTCAGTTCAATATTCGCTGTGTAATAGATTTAAAACATGTGATGGAGCATTACACATGATACCCTCAAAATACGAACTGCTCTTTATCTTCTAATGCAAGGATGAGAAGTTAAAATATACGAATTTCTTCCAACATGTATTTATGAAAATATTTTAATTTAAACAGAACAATCAAACATAGAACAATTGTTAAGTTAAATAAATAAAGTTATAATAATAATAAAAATAAACAATTCCAATAAGAAAGTAATATGACTTTTCAAATTACAAATTTGCTAATAGCATTGTTTAGAAATTGCGATTTCCATTTGAAATCGATTAATCGTTCAGCCCTAGTGTACAGTAGAACCCTTCTTAACGGCCACTCCTGTTAACGACTAATCGCTTCACGATGGGCCTCCATAGAGCCCACTTACCGATCATTCCCCTGTTTATGACAGGCTGTTGTAGGTATAGTAAATATTAATTAATGTATCGATTAACCGTGTTTTTTTCTATGTTATGTGTTTATAATGTTGTTAATATCTTTATGCATCAATAATCATTGTTTAAATATTATAAAGTGCGTTCTTTTTGGTGAAAAGGGTAACTTTTGATGCGAGCGGAACGAATTATGCCTTTAATATGCATTTCCTATACTCGCTTAACGACCAACGACTGGTTTCGTGGAACAAATTACCGTCGTTAAGAGGAGGAGTTCTAACATACACCAAGTCCGAGAGCGGCCCCCTTTGCAGTGATGGAAATCACTGAGCGCACACTAGAATCACGAACGGCGTTTTTTTTTCCAGGGCGAAAATGAAACGCTGCTCTCAACCAGTACCCTATTAGAGCAACTGAGATGTTCGTGAGATGGGGTGGGGTGTTACTGTGACCTACTTCTGAGTGGGAGGCCTCATATAAACAGGTGAGCTGTACCAAGTAAAGTTATTGGCCATAACTTGGCCCTGCCAGGGGGGACATTTGGTGGCCTACCACCTACTACGCTCATAAGGAATCGTAACTACAAGTGCCCGACAGTGGTGATGTGAAGATAGGTACCTCTAACATCGTTACCAGGTAAGGCCCGCTACTGAGCTGCTATGTAGCTTCTTTTTCAGAAGCGATCTGACCATCACAAAAATGATAGCTCAACGGAGTGGCTTATCAACATCGTGTGTAATTTTATAAGCAGTCAAATTAACTAAATGCACATTTCTAAATGTGGAGGGAAAAAAACGGAGGACCCGGAGAAAAATCCACGTGACCATGGGGAGAGAGACACACAAACTCCGAATATATGGCAGGTGTCAAGATCGGCGTCGAACCCACGACCTCCTCCATACCCGGTGAACCAGTTAATATCTCCTACCGTGGTGTAATGAGCAGCACACCGAACGTGCAATAGAAAGGTTTCTGGCTCAATGGTGCCCACATATGTCCATGCCGCAATGCGAATTGGTACACCGGTTAGTCGATTGTCAGGTGGTGGTGGGTGGCGGGGTGAACCGTGGGTACTTCCACCTCTCCAAGACACAAGAATCAGAATCGTTATCTACAATGGACGAATCAATGAGCTCTGAAACTTTTTTTCACAGATGTCCACATCAGGCCAGCGTGGCTTGATGTGTGTTAGTCTGGTGTCACTTCCCCCGCACCTCCGATTAGCATGGTTGGCTTACGTACGGTGGTGCCAAAGAAGTTCAATGTACTGTATGTACAAGAAAATATCTTTCAGACGGGTCCACATCTGGCCAGAATGAACGCAGTGGCCAAATACCGCTCTCTACAGGGCTCTCCCTAGAGCCCCCTGCGATGGATGCTCCTTTGCACCAGGAGTGGAGTGAGCGAAGACACTGCTTACCTCCAAGGTGATGTTGAACAGGGGTACGGATGCCAAGTTGACCAGACTGGTGGCGTCAGGCCGCAGTTCCTGGATCTCTCCCTGGGTATCGCCACTCATGTAGATGCCGCTCGGCTGGAACATCATGCCCAGAACGTCCCAGGACTGCGGCACAGCGCCGGTTCGTGCAGCGGGGTGTCTCGCAACCTAGAGGGGGGGGGGGGGGGAAACGTTGCGTTCCAAGTCACAAGGGGACAATTTCACAGGCTAATTCAGGTTGACCGGGTTCCAGGTGGTCAAAAGAGTGAATGGAGGTGTTGTTTACACCAACATTTTTTTTAGGTAATCATTACTTCTTTAACAAGTACGCTTTCGCGACCAATATAATCCACAATAGAGGTTTTTTGTTGGTAATTACTGTCAAAACGTACTCAAACTGTAAACGTAGTGGGTTTACTCTTCAACACACAACCGGTTAGTTAGTGCTGTACTTGCACTTTTGTTTACATGACATAAACCTTACCGATTGGCCGTGTCAAGTGGTGGTGGTGGGTTTAACGACACACACATTTATTTTGATGCAATCTAACCCAAAAACCCCCCTCTATTATGGATCATTACTTTTACAATGCAGCCGTGGGAATCATCACAAATAAGCCACAAATACATGCAGATCTTATAGCTCATTTAAATGGAAATCCACTGCTATGTGAAGGCCTGCCCAGACCCTGTGTGGAGTTATTTGACTACACTTCACTACGCTGGTGAGTGCCGATGTTGATGAAGGTGGGACATGTGGGAGAGGCAGGTGTGGGAGGGGGGGGGGGTAAAGAGGCATAGAAGCACAGATTCCAAAGAACACAGGATGAGATGTTACTATCCTTTGTGCAAGCACTTCCAAGAGTTCATGAACAGTGAGCCTGGTGAAATTTGGGGAGCGCATCGTCAGTAGTGACCCTTTGGTTCCTAGGGTGTTTCGGCCTTTCATACTATACACCCTCCCCAAAGGCGGCCAGCGACAGGGTGATCAATCCTACGCTTGCGTCCCATTCCCAATTAGTCATAGGAGTTGCCTTGTTGTTGATAGCCAACATCCCATGGGACTATGCATGGCAGGGGCGTCCTCCTCCCTGAGTCAAGCATTGTTGACTGCATACCTCCTGGCCCTCTCACTTTGGGGCCCAGCTGGGGTCTTTCCTCTTCATCCAGAGCCACTGACTGCTGCCTTCTGCCGCCTCCGATACAGCTCTGATTGCCGAACGCTGGCTCTGGCCCTTAATTCCCAGGTCTCTAAGCAGTCTGGTTGTAGATGTTGCCACAAAACCTCTGCAGCCCACCTCCACTGGTCGGACTTCTGTGTTCCAGCCATGATGCCGTGCTTCGGCAGCTAGATCGGCATAGCGCAGATGTTTTCGCTCATAAGCCTCATCTACTGAGTCCTCCCAGGGTACTGTGAGCTCAATGATGAAGACCTTCTTGAGCGAACAGGACCAGAGCACCATGTCAGGTCTTAGGGTGGTGGTTGCGATCTCCGGAGGAAACACAAGTTGCCGGCCAATGTCAGCTAGCATTTTCCAGTCGCGGGCCAAGCGCAGCTGGTCTCGCTCTATTGGTGTAGAGCCGCTCTTCGGTGGTTTAGCCCCTTCGCGGACAAAGGTCGTCCGTAAGGGGTGTGATGCTGCTGGGGGTGGTAGGGAGTTGGTGGCAGCTCGCTTGTCCTCCAGGGCGGACGCAAGGTTTTTAAGGACTTGGTTGTGACGCCAAGTGTAGCGTCCTTGGGTGAGGCTTGTTTTACACCCTGTGAGAATGTGCCTGAGGTTGGCTGGCATGGAACAGAGGGCACAGTCCGGATCTTCACCATACCATTGGTGAAGATTAACTGGTGTTGGAAGGATGTCATATGTTGCTCTGATGGAAAAGCTCAACCGCCTCGCTTCCATGGCCCACAGATCCTTCCAGCTGATCTTCCTCTTCTCCACACTGTCCCATCGAGTCCACTGTCCTTGTTTGGCAAGAGAGACTGCCTTGGCCCACCTTGCAGCCTCCTCCTGATGGCGTACTTCCTGCACTACCATCTTCCGCCGCTCTGGTGCAGTGGCCTTACTCCAAGCAGCACGGCTAGTTAGCCCAAGGCCTCCTCTCCCTTGCTGAACATGACCCACAATGTCAGCATGTCTGAGGGCTGCTGTTGCCTCCTGGACTGCTTTTCCTGGCCTCCATTTGCGCCCAGTTGCCAAGGTCGGCGCGTTGTTGCTCACCACTGGGTCTCGAGATTCATTCAGTGTCATCTGGAGCCTGGTTTTTGCACACTTGAATTCCTCGGTTAGACTGGTGAGGGGCAGCTTGAGGACACCATCTCCATAGAGGCCTATGGTGGTAAGGCATCGTGGAACTCCGAGCCACTTCTTTAAGTAGCTCGTGGCTCCTCTTTCCATCTTCTCCACTGTTGAGATTGGAACCTCATACACTGCTAGGGGCCACAACACCCGGGGTAGGAGACTAAACTGCAGACACCAGGCCTTTAACTTTCCAGGTAGCTGGGTGTTGTCGATGGACTGTAGGCTACTACTGATGTCTTTGCGCAGCTGTTGCACCTGGTCTTTGTCCTTCAGGCTTGCATCATACCACCTTCCAAGGCTTTTTACCGGCTGCTCAGACACTGTTGGGATTTGGTCATCTCCGATGAAGAATTTCAGGTCACAGAGTACTCCCTTCACAATCGAGATGCTGCGTGACTTGGATGGTTTAATCTTCATACGGGCCCAGCTGATGTTCTCCTCGAGTTTTCTGAGCAGTCTCCTGGTGCATGGGACAGTGGTGGTCAATGTTGTAATGTCGTCCATGTAGGCTCTGAGTGGAGGGAGGCGAAAACCAGTCGACTCGCTGTCCACCAGCAACCCATTTTGAGGATCTGATGATAACCTCCATTGCCATTATGAATGCCAATGGAGAAATGGTACATCCCGCCATTATACCTACATTCAGGCATTGCCATGAGGTGGTGAACTCTGAGGTGGTGAAGCAGAACTGCAGATCCTGAAAGTACGACTTCACCAGGGTTGTGATGGTGTCCGGTATGTGGAAAAATCTGAAGGCAGACCACAGGAGTTCATGGGGCACAGAGCCAAATGCATTGGCGAGGTCGAGGAAGACTACATGGAGGTCCCTTTTCTCCACCTTGGCCATTTGGATCTGGTGCCAGATCATGCTGGAATGTTCCAAGCAGCCAGAGAACCCTGATATTCCTGCCTTCTGTACAGATGTATCGACGTACACATTCCTTTGCAGGTACTCGGCCATCCTCTGGGCAATGATCCTAAAGAAGATTTTACCCTCGACATTCAGTAAGGAGATTGGGCGGAATTGGCTGATGTTCACTGTATCCTTCTCCTTAGGGATCAGGACCCCGCCTGCCCTACGCCACACTTTGGGTATTATCTTCTTTTGCCAAGCTGTTCTCATAAGCCTCCAGAGGAACCTCAGAACGTCTGGTGCTTTCTTATACACTTTGTACGGGACTCCATTTGGCCCCGGGGCTGATGCTGTTCTTGCCCTTCGAACTGTGTTTTCCACCTCTTTCCATGTCGGAGGGCTGGTCTCAATATGATGTTCCCGGGGTTCAATGGGTGGGATATCTGATGGGATGGCCAGATGTTCATGTCGCTTTGAGTCAAAGTTTGTTGTTCTCAGGTGCTCTTCTAGGTCTTTCTTTGTTGTTTTTAGAGCTCCACTTTTTTCCTTCGTGAAGAGACTTTTAAGGAACTTGAAGGGATCTTTATAGAATCGAGTTCTAGTTTGTTCTTTCCTCCTTCTGCGCTTCCGTAGGTTCTCTGCTCTACGGAGGGATGCCAACCGGGTTTTGATGTCAGCCTGAAGTGCCTCTATGCCCTCCTTTTCCACTTCCGAGGCTTTTTTCCACTGTTTCTTAAGCTGTCTCCTTTCTTGAACGAGGCGCTTGATTTATTGTTGCCTCCTGGACACTGGTGGGGTTGGAACCTTTCTCCCGCCTTTTGCCTCTTGCACTCCAAAGCTTTCTGCCCCGTACTCATAGATGATGTCCCCCATCCTCTCCAACTTCTTCTCCACTGTGCCTCGAAGTTTCTCGAGGGTCAAGGTAAGGTCAGTATTCACTGTTTCCCACAACTTCTTGTCACTGGCGCCAGGCCACTTCACATACGGTCTGTGCCCTGGTAGTCTCCTCTCGATTGCAGGTCTCGGAGGCTGGGTGAGTTCCACTCCTGTTGTTGGTTCCACCTCAGTTGTTACTTCGGTGCTTGAGTTTACGTCCTCCATGACAGTGGTACTGATGCACTGCAAACTATGGTTTGCGTCCAGTTGCTGTGCTTCATTCGACTGATTTGATCGCTTTCGCAGAAAGTAATCAATGCGAGGCCTCTGTCTCTCTTTACCCAAACACCCCTTCTTCCCCTGGTGGATCCTCAACCCATGGTGTGATGTAACTTTCCTTCAACCACAGACACATACCTGCATCTGTTTGTGGCCTGCTGTTGCAGCGGAACTTGTGACAGTTGCTGTGGTGTTCTCTTGTGCTGTGCTCTCATTACTCGTAGTCGTTTCCGGTCCAGTCGTTACCATGTTGTCAGTCGATGAGTCATCTTCCGCCCCCGCTCTCGCAGACTCTAGGGGTATTCTCGTATGTTGACTTTCTGTAGCTAAATCGGGTGTTTCCAACATACTGCGAAGCATGGGAAACTACAGAAATGGGAAGCTAACCCATGACTGTCCCAGTGGGGTCTATTCCCTCCTGTCAGCCGTCTCTCCGTGCCGCCACAAGGACTTTCCCCTGTTGTCAGCTGATCTTTCTCAGCAGTCACTGGACAAGTCCAGATATTCAGATTCCAAAGAACACAGGATGAGATGTTACTATCCTTTGTGCAAGCACTTCCAAGAGTTCATGAACAGTGAGCCTGGTGAAATTTGGGAAGCGCATCGTCAGTAGTGACCCTTTGGTTCCTAGGGTGTTTCGGCCTTTCATACTATACACCCTCCCCAAAGGCGGCCAGCGACAGGGTGATCAATCCTACGCTTGCGTCCCATTCCCAATTAGTCATAGGAGTTGCCTTGTTGTTGATAGCCAACATCCCATGGGACTATGCATGGCAGGGGCGTCCTCCTCCCTGAGTCAAGCATTGTTGACTGCATACCTCCTGGCCCTCTCACTTTGGGGCCCAGCTGGGGTCTTTCCTCTTCATCCAGAGCCACTGACTGCTGCCTTCTGCCGCCTCCGATACAGCTCTGATTGCCGAACGCTGGCTCTGGCCCTTAATTCCCAGGTCTCTAAGCAGTCTGGTTGTAGATGTTGCCACAAAACCTCTGCAGCCCACCTCCACTGGTCGGACTTCTGTGTTCCAGCCATGATGCCGTGCTTCCAATTACTGGGGTGAGCGGGCATTTTCTGTCACTGAGCCATGGTTGTGGAATTCTCTACCGTGGGAAATTCGTTCATCTGACAATGTGTATACTTTTAAGTCTTGTCTTAATAACACATCTTATTAAGTCAGTTAATTCTATTTAACTTCTCCTTCTCTCTTGGCCTTATTCTTACAAGGCGCCTTGAGACATTAGTAAAAGGCGCCTTACAGATCAAATATAAATTGTTATTATGACCAGTTCATAAAGCCTGTTTTCGCCAGGCAAAAGTTTTCAAAAATAAAATAATGAACCCGATTAGATTTTTTTACAATTTGTATCTACGACCAGACACTAACTACTCAAAAAATTGGTATTTTTCCGCAAAAAAAATTGTTGACAACTTGATTCAACTTCTTATATTTAAAGACATACCTATCGGAAAACGCTACATTTAAAGATTCTGTTCTTTTTTTATTAGATAAAAAATGAATCAACTTAACTCTATGAGGGAAAGCTCTTCTATATTTTACCGTTTAAGAATTATTCAGATTTGAACATCATAAAATGCGGACTTTTACGTTAAAAACTGCTTGAATCCGAAAAATCTCAAAACAATATAAAATGGAACAATGGTTCCCACTTTAATTGTATCTGCTCTTTAACGGCCTATCAAAAAAAAAATTTATGTTATTTTTTCAATGGTTTCTGAATGACATGCACAAACATTTTCATGGGGCACTTGAAATCGAAATTTGGGGGCTCTAGAATGAAAAATCTAGGATTTTCCGATTTTTTGCTGTTGATTGCATCCTAAAAGCTACCTTTGTACCTGTGGCAGTCAGAGAGGGATAGCCTTGGGGGCAAGGTGTCTCCTGATTGGGGAGGGGTTCGGACTAACACGAGCTTGATGGATTGGACTTATTTGAGTGTGCCACGCTAACCCATTTAGAGAACAAAGGGCGTGACTTGAGACCACGCTGACCACATTTAAGGCAAGAGAGTCGGCCGTGTCGGTGTGTCAGTCCAACGATCATCGTCTCGGAGCCAGGAGTGTTGGTGATAACAACTTGCAGGCCTGTGAGAGTGATCGACTGGGGTTCTGCCGTTGACTGCTGGGCTGTTCGCGAGTGTCTCATCCCAGCAACCCTCGTCTCTGAGTCAGGAGTGGATCGTCACAGAGGACCACCTGCCGCTGCCGTCAGAGTGGCCCTCTGCAAATGCTGGGAACTGCGGGGCATTGGTAGCTGGGACACTTTCGGGGAAGAGGGGAAGTGACTACCAGAGGGCTTGTGAGGTTGTCCCTGGAACGTTTTTGTTTAATCTGTTCCAGAACTGGGGAACACTTCATAGGGACCCTGGATGGTTGCTCCGCAGCTGTCTCCCGTCAGCGTTCGTGTTTGAGGAGATCCGTGAAACTGGTATTGTTGGGTTGTTGTATGATTGTATTGTTTGTTGTTGCTGTTATGTGGCCGTGATCCTTGTTATACACCACACACGGTCATCGGGGGGCGTCTCGTGAAATAGTGGTCCCACCACATACTAAAGCACATCAGTGCGAGCACTGAGAGCTCGGGTTTCAGTTTAAGATCGACTCCTTCAAAGCTCATGTCGCAAAAGGACGCACCGTTACAATACCAAATTTCAGCTTTCTACCCTGTCGGAAAGTACTCTAGATGTTTTTGAGACATATATTAAGGTCTTTATTTATATAGATTATTACTGGTTAGCGCCACTGCACTCTATCACATGGCCATCTGGAACGTTCCCTCCCGATATTAGGAAGCCACTGGGAGCTATGCACTCTTACATCATCAAGATTGGCAAACTCATTTCTTTAGAACTGCTGCTTGTTGTTGTGTTTAGTTTGTTATCCTTCCTCTAGTACCTCCGTTAAGCGTGGTTGGCTACGTATGGTGCGAAATAAGTTCAACATACGCACATATAAAGTGATGTTTTGCACAAATGAGAATTGAGGCGGTGTTCATCAACTGTCTAGACTGCAGTGATTCTCAACCAGGGGTATGTGGACCCCTGGGGGTACGTGGCAATGTCCCAGGGGGTAAGCGAGGTTGTTTATAAATGTGTGAAATTATATCATACATCAGCGTCATTGGTGAATAATCATGTTGCATGAATTTTGCCGACGTAAAATAACTACAATAACATTTAAATCCATACGGTAAGCTAGAACGATATAAACGACCTTTCTAAACTCACTGATCGTAACCAATGTTGGTTTCCAAGAGTAACCAGCGAACGTGAGCAAATTATGACGCGCGTGTAGCGCGTCTGTTGAAATTTGTTTTAATCATGGTGGCTGGGCAGATGTATTTCTGGCTGCCCATTCGAGTACAATAGAAGGCCAAATCCCACTCAGCTTCCTCAATCTGACGAGATCGGGGTGCATTCTAGGTGATTTGGTTATATTCATATCGTGGCTGACAGAAATTATGAGTGGAATTGATACATCATGCGAGTTATTTATTGCTGGGCAAGGGACGGTCAAAATATATGATTGGGTTAAATTATGACATCACCCTGCTGCTCTATTTAAGACCGGGAGCAGGTGGAGGGCTTCACTATTCTGGCAAATCGCCCGATGATGCTGGATGTAATTACCAGCGAAACGTCGTAATCAAAATTGTAAATGTTGTGGATTCATTCTTCAACATACCGGTGGGTTAAAGTAGTTAACTATTTTTCTTTTGTCAACGTGACACATTTTTTACTGATTGGCTATGTCGGGTGGTGGAGGGTTGCGACACATTTATCAATAACGCGATCTCACCCAAACACTTTTATTATGAATAATATTGGTCGCGAAAGCCTACGTGTTAAACCAAAAGAAAGAAACTTACCGCTTGAAAATGTCCTTTTTCGTACGAGGTCGGATAAAAAATCACCGCAAAATGGGTGCGATTTTTGCTGAGCGTCACACTCTCAATGGTCCTCGTGAAATCTTGATGGATAATGCTGCGGCAGAACACCATGGAATTGTAGTTGTGATAAAACGGCAAAATGCAATGCACCATATGGGAGGGGGGGGGGCACCGTGTGTACAGGCGTCTCTCGATTGACGAAAGGGAATCTTATCATATCTCGAAGGAATTTATATAGTGCCTTATCCAAGGCACTTTACACATAATTAACAATGGTACATACGGATGTGATGTTGGAGATGAGGTGAATGAAATAAATTAGAGGAAGCAATGGGGGGAAATCTGTGAGGCTGCGTGGATTCGGTGAAAGGGAAATTGATGGCAGTAAATGACGAGTGGATTGAATGAATGGGGGTTAATGAGTGAATGTCGTATAATGATAATATGAAGAGTGAAAAGTAATGGTAGTGGCGGTTGTGAGGGGGAGATTGAGGGGGTCATGGGGTGAGCTAGGGAACAATAAGTGCGAGTTTTTGAGTGTGGAGCGGACACCATGCCAGCCGTTCCTGCAAACGAATTTTCGTAAAATATGGCTTTTCCCATTCAATTGATACAAAAGAAAAATCAGGGATCATCATCGCGAGCCGTGGGCAATCCACTGCTGGATGAAGGCCGCCCAAAAGCTGTGGCCTTTCTCTCGCAATCCTGCAATGTAACAATCTGCCTTGCAAACTATGCGCGAGCTGCCTTCGCTCAGTGGACGTCTTCGCTCCCTTTGTGAATGCCTTCTCGCGGCATCTCGCCACCCAAGCACAACTTTCTTACCCGCCAACCCGGTGTGCCTGGATTCGAATTAACGATGTCGATTTCGCCAAGACGAGAATATTGCGTTCAAGGTAACACCACTGATGGTGGTGCCACGATAATTCGGTCGTCTTCCAAACCCCCTTGTGATTAGAAGACGTTTGGCATTAGCTCCAGAATATATTATCAAAGATTATTTGGATTATTTTGCCTGATATGAATGTCAAAATGGTGGGGCCACATTGTTGAGCTATAATTGTGGTAGCCAAGTCGCTTCTAAGAAATAAGTTAATTCCTCAGTGGGCTTTGCCTGGTAGGATGGGGATGGTTTAGTGTTGTATTTGTATGTGTCTGGGCGATTTGTTTACCTTTCTTGTATTTTTCACTACTACCGTGTGTTTGTACTGTTTGTTATTGTAACGTTTTTACCCCGTGCCCCTACTGGCCATCTGTGAAAAAGAGCGTTATAGCTCATCGGATGATTTCAGTAGTATAAATAAATATTCTAATTCTGATTCAAAGTAATATAAAAAAATACATGAAAACTTCACAGCAGAAGAACTCCTACATCAGCAGTTCTCCTGCTGTTTGTTTCACCTGATGACGGTTGCTTGTGTTGCGATCTAAACGTTGTGATCTATTAATTTCTATCTACGTGACTTTACCGAAAGAACCAAAGAGTATGTATAAAAAACATTTTATTTTATTTTACCAGTTAAAGCCAACTGAGCCATTTAGCTATTTTTCAGAAGCGACCTGGTCACAAATGATATCTCAACACAGTGGCTTATCATCACGTGTAATTTTTTAGCAGTCAAATACTCTTAACGCATGTTTCGAAATGTGGGGGGGAAACTGGAGGACCTGGAGAAAAATCCACGTGATCACGGGGAGAACATGCAAACAGTGGGGAGTGATGAAACAGCGGTTAGCGCGCTGCGCTATGAACCAGTCGACCCAAGTTTGATTCCCGCTCATGGCCACCAAAACCAGTGACAGTGATTATCTGAACCAGTCCTATGCCTCCCCTAGGTCGACTCAGCCTCAAGTGAGTATCTGGGGCGATGTGTAGTTAAACATCGCCACTGGGGAGACAAAGGTGGTCAGGCGAGGTGGCTGGCCACCCACGTCCTCGTGGGCCAGTGCCGGCCTTCATAAGTGCTACTCGCCAACAGCACTTGCTCCTACAGTCTGTTAAGGCTACACAGGGTGGGGGGATGTTTGGATAAACAACAACTCAATAGAGGGAGCGGCAATACGCAAGATGATGGACGTTCATCACTCACTCCACGGCGATGGGAACCTGCGCGCCTCCTCCTGCGACGCCCTCCCGGTACTCCACAAATCCCGATAGCACGACCCGCGTGGGGGCGGAGAAAACCGCGGGAGACACCGGGTACAGCTGGGCAGTGTACAACGGCTCCACGGTCACGTGCCAACTGAATAACGGACAGAGAAATGTGTCAGTCTTAACACTTTCGCTTTTTTCTCGCTTCTTGCTCCCTTCAATGGAACAAACTTCACCTCCACATTAGGCAGTCACCTTCACTCACTTAGTTTCCACTCCGCACTAAAAACTCACACTTATTGTTCCCTAGCTCACCCCACGACCTCCTCAATCTCCCCCTCATAACCGCCACCGTTACTTTTCCCTCTTCACATTCTCATTATATGGCTATCACATATTAACCTCATTCATTCAAACCATTCATCATTTACTGTCATCAATTTAACTTTCACCAAATTCACGCATTACAGATTTTCCACCCATTGCTTACTCTCATCTATTAATTCACCTCGTCTCCACCAATACATCCTGTCCCATTGTTAATTCTGTGCAAAGTGCCTTGGAGAAAGGCACTATGTAAATTATTTTAAGATAAGAAAGCAGTGGAAAAGTGTGGTTGCGTTAACTTTGACTGTGATCTTGTATTTCAAGATCACAGTGAAAAGGCAGCACGATGAGCGAATTTGGAAAAACAAATGTGCGTGGCTCCTGGGCAATTAACCCTCATCGGAATCCAGCCACAATGGTGAAAGGGTTATTACCCCAAAACTTCAACTGACAAACACACCAGAGTCAAAACGCAAAAGAGTACAAATGCATTTCGTCCGGACAACTACACAACAGTTTTCGCACCATCAGTTGAATGCTTCCGAGGACGAACGCACGTTGGAAAGTGTTCAAGCGCATGTGCGCGAAAGGGGGAATGCCAACCCGTGCACCGTGACTTACTGTGCATACAAATGTGAGTTTGCATTTGTCGGTTGTCCATACTTTAAGTACAGTTAGAACTCCTCTTATCGACCACCCCTGTTAACGATTAATCGCTTAATAGCAGGCTTCTATAGAGTCCAATGTGTAGTGTATAGTGTTGTACAGTCGAACCCCTCTTAACGACTACCCCTATTAACGATTAATCGCTTAATAGCAGGCTTCTATAGAGTCCAATATGTAGTGTATAGTGTTGTACAGTCGAACCCCTCTTAACGACTACCCCTGTTAACGACTAATCGCTTAACGACGGGCCTCCATAGAGCCCAATGTGTTCACTTACTGACCATTCCCCTGTTAACGACACGCTGTTGTAGGTACAGTAAATATTAATTAATGCATTGATAAACCATGTTTCTTTTAATATTATGTGTTTATAATGTTATTATTAAGTTACCATTCCTGGATGTTTTGATTGAGAAGAGACTTCATGGCTCGTTGGGACATTCTGTCTACAGGAAAGCCACCGACACGGATGCCTATCTAAAGCCTGACTCCCACCACCATCCAGCCCAGAGTAATTTCCTCATCAAAACACTACGCCATAGGGCCCATTGCATCTCTGACCAGCACCACCTAGCCAGTGAGCTGGAGCATGTACGACAAGCCCTCAGAATGAACGGATATTCTGACCGTACTATCCGCAAAGTTCTCTCCCCAGCCATGGGGAAACAACCATCTCAGGACTCAATCAAAACCATCACCTTGCCATACATAGCAGGGGTTACCAAAACTATTTCCAAAATCTTAAACAAATACAAGATCCAGGTTCGTTTCAACACAATACACAAAATCCGTGATTTGATCCCATCTGTAAAGGACATGCAATATCCTGGTGTCTACAAACTAAGTTGTGGCTGTGGCAGCAGTTACATTGGGGAAACGAAACGACATGTCTCGGACCGTTTTCGCGAACACAAGGCAGATCTTAAGCACGATAGGACTAATACCTCTGGCGTTGCAGATCAATGTTTTAATGCTGTGGGCACACACAAAATAGATTTTTCCAAGACGAATATACTCTGCAAACCCACTGGCTATCATCAGAGATCTGTTCATGAAGCCATCCAGATATATAAACACAGACACAACTTCAACCGAGAAGATGGGTACAAATTGAGCAATCATTGGAAGGATGTGATTAACCAGGTAAAGTCTTAACCTGCTGTTATGTTTCCATCCTTCCTGGGATTTTAGCTGACTCTCTGAGATATATTATTAGGTTGGATGTCTTTGTATTGACAGGCTGGATGTCCTTCTTGCTCAGTCACGGATGCTGCGACATACTAGGCAAGTCACCGATGCTGCGGCATACTAAGCTCGTGCATTGACATGCTCATCTCTCACAATACAATAGGCACTTCCACAGCATCAGGCAGACCATCTTTAGCCCCGCCCTCTTACCCTGAGGCTGCACCCATCTCAGGCCTACATAAGACCTTGTTTCAGTAGCTTTCTCTCTCTCACCTGAAGACGGTCGCTTGTGTTGCTATCGAAACGTCGTGATCTATTAATTTTCTATTTACGTGACTTTACCTAAAGAACCAAAGAGTATCTTTATGTATTAATATCCACAATTTAAATATTATTAATAACGTTTTTGGGTACAAAAGGGTAACTTTCGATGCTATTAAAATTAATTAAGCCTTTCACGTGTATTTCGTATACTCGCTTAACGACCAAAATCACTTAACGACCGGTTTCGTGGAACCAATAACCGTCGTTAAGAGGGGTTCTGCTGTATGTAAAAAAATAAAAATCAAACCTCTCCTTCCAACCGCCACCGCCTCCGCTACTGCCACCGCCGCTCTCCGTACCTTGCCGTGGACATGCCGACCGCATTGAAGACTTTCACTTCCACTGCATACGGCTCTGTGCGTGTGATCGGCGAGTTCCACAGCACAGCGGCACCGTCGAGGATCATGCCGCTTGGAGCGACGCTCAGTTGCCACATGACTGGGTCTGTGCCCTTGGAATGCAGAAAAGATTTCAGTTAGCCTCTCTGGAGCATCTGGGATACGCCGCTTGCGAGGAAAGAGGTAGATTTTAAAAGAAGATGGGGAATCCATTCCTAAATAACACATTAAATACGACGAAAAATACGAATAGGTTTGACCCTTTCTGGCAATAAAACAGGCGTTAAGATGTTCAAACACCAAATAGATGCTGCGAGGATGACCGGAGTTCGCATGACGGTGGTTGATAGCTCCTTAACGAGGTCTGCGAGGCACTGTGGTTCAGAAAGGAATTGTGAATAAAAAATGTGCATGCTGGCGGAATCTACCACGTGTCGAATATGTGAATGAAGACACTTTTAAAAGGAACCGTAGGAGGACATAAAACTACTTTATTATTATCTATTTTCACCGAGGATGAAGGCATATGTTGGTGGGCTTTAATGCTTGTAAAGATCATTGGTGTAAATTATTATTACCATTACATTTGTTTACCCATGAATAAGCCTCACTGAGTCTCATGCATGTTTATTTTTACGAGGGGACCTGACAAGTTCTTGGAGCAGGTTGCGACAACGATCACTGCGTGTTTTCTCACCAAGCGATTTGCGGTGCCTTTTTTTCACATTTTTTACTCGAATGATACCTCGGGTTTTTTTACATCCCCCACCCCGCCACCCTCGCTGCTGTGCGTGAAGCAGACGGTAATGTTTTAACCGCGAATACACCGGTGGTTATTAACCAGGGCAGCCTGGCGAACTTTTCACAACAAGAAACGCGCCCCAAAGTGCCCCCAACGTGCCCCACAAAGGTCCTGCGGCCGTCCTGCCCACTCCACCCCCCTCCCCGTTCTTTGCTCCCCTGTCACAAAGATGGAAACCTTCAGGAGTTGAAGAGATTCGCCGTAGCTCTGCCCTTCCACCGCGACGGCATCGGCAACGACCTTCAGCTCTGGCGGCAGGGTCTCGAACTTGCAGTCATCGCCGTACCACGGCAGGCTGCAGATGCACCGCCCAAATGAGCAGATGCCATGTGGAACATCAAGTCCTCTACCGCACGCGCTCGCAGGGCACTGCTGGTAAAAGGTGAACAGTACCTGTGCAACGGGAAAGGAAACATAAGAGAGAAAAGATTTCTGTTCATAAGTGATTTTTTTTGGGTTAGATCATTTACATAAAATGTATCATTAAACCAGCGATCAACACCTCACACAGCCAATCAAGGGTTTGTCACGTAAACAAAACTTGCCAATCAGTTACGAGTACAGCACACCAGTATGTTGAAGAGTAAACCCACAACATTTACAATTCGACTAACATTTCTGTCGTTTGTCCATCGCCCCCCACCAATTTTCAAAAATGGAATCATAATCTGAATTAACACTGGAGCAAGAGAAATCTATCTTGATTTTAAGCTTTCGTGACTGCAGGAATCAATACTATTTGGTTCTGGCATGTCAATCTGTAATTTGCATGTAAACGTAAGATCCGAGAGCTTGACGACTACGGTGCTGAAGAGGCGGCCATTGTATTGTGAGAGATTAGCATGTCAATCTGTTAATGTAACGCTACGACTACGGTGCTGAAGAGGCAGCCATTGTATTGCTAGAGATTAGAGATTAGCATGTCAATGTTAGACGATTCCCGCAGCAGCGGCTGTGTTAATGAGAAGATTGGCATGTCAGTGTCAGAGAACCGGGCACAAGGCCACCTCGTGGGCAACTATAGCTGCCGGCGTTTGCTGCTGCACTGTGAGAGACCAGCATGTCATTGCAAGAGAACCACCGCAACAGTGGCCATGCCAGTGAGACATTCAGCCTATTAAACAAGAGCCACCGCCACATCGAGGAAAAGGGAACAGCGGCTATGTTAGTGAGACATTTAGCCTGTTAACGTAAAGACATTTAACAAGGTAACATAACTCAGCGAGTCGGAAATAACTGCTAACATCGGCAGGTAGGATGGAAGCATCAAAGCCAGTTAATGCTTTGCCTGGTTAATAACGTCCTTCAAATGATTGCTCAGTTTGTACCATTCTTCTCGGTTGAAATGTGTCCGTGTTTTTTATCTGGATGGCTCCATGAATAAATCTTTGTTGATAGCCGGTGGGCTTGCAGACTACCTTCGTCTTGAAAAAATCAATTTCATGTGTGCCCACAGCATTAAAACAATGATCAGCCATGGCCGAGGTATTGGTCCTACCGTGTTTCAGATCCGTCTTGTGTTCACGAACATGGTCTGAGATATGTCGCTTAGTTTCCCCAATGTAACTATTGCCACAGGCACAATTTAGTTTGTAGACACCGGGGTATTGAATGTCAGGGATCAGATCCTTCACAGATGGGATCAGATCACGGATTCTATGTACTGTGTTGAATCGAACCTGGATCTGGTGTTTGCTCATGATTTTGGAAATATTTTTGGTGACCCCTGCTATGTATGGCAAGGTGATGGTTTTGATTGGGTCCTCAGATGGTTCTCTCCCAACGGTTGGGGTGACGGCTCTACGGATTGTGCAGTCCGAATATCAATTCATTTGGGGGCTCGGCGTATGTGCTCCAGTTCACTGGCTAGGTGGTGATGGTCGGAAATGCAACGAGACCTATGGTGTAGAGATTTGATGAGGGAATTCTTCTGGGCTTGATGGTGGTGGGAGTAAGGTTTTAGATAGGCATCCGTGTGGGTGGCTTTCCTGTCGACAGTGTCCCTTTGAGCCATCTGGTCTTTTTTTATTAAAACATCCAAGAATGGTAACTTGCCATCCTTTTCCACCTCCCTGGTGAATTTTATTAGTGGGTGTATGGAATTGATGTGGTTGAAGAATTGGTTCAGTGCTAGCAGGCCATGTGGCTAGATGACAAACGTGTCATATACGTATCTCTTACACAAGGAAGGACGTAGGATGAATGCCTGGATGGCATCTGTCTCAAAATTTTCCATGAAAACATTGGCTACCACTGGAGATAACGGAGAACCCATTGGGGTACCTACAACTTGTTTATATAATGTACCATTCCAGGTGAAGTAAGTGTTGGTGAGGCAGTGTTTCACCAGGGCCGGTAAATCAGCATTCAGTCCTTGTTGTTTACTTTACCAGGTAAGGCCTCATTGAGCTATTTAGCTTCCTCTTCAGAAGCGACCTGGCGATCACAAATGATAGCTCAACAAAGTGGCTGATGTCAATATCACGTGGAAATCCACAGCAGTAAAATCATATAAATGATGCGCGTTTGCAAATTTTAACCTGAACGTGCCATCGGCTTCAGCTCCGGGGGTGTGGTTAACCCATTAGGAGAATTGTCTAGGTGAAGCGGATTATTTTTGTTAACTACCATAAACCATTTTTATTGGTACCAGATAAGGACCCAATACTGAGCTATGTAGCTCCTTTTTAGAAGTGACCTGGACTATCACTATCACAAATGATAGCTGAACTTAGTGGCTTATTGTCATCATCTCGTGGAAATTTATTTCAGTAGTCAAATGCTCTAAACGCGCGATGTTGATTCTAAATATAGAGTAAAAACCGGAGGACCCGGAGAAAAATCCAGATGATCACGGGGAGACACAGACACGCAAAGTCCAAATATACAGCCAGTGTCAGGGTCGGTCAGGATCGAACCCACAACCTCCTTCATGCCAGGAGAGGTAGTTAACATCTCCTAGCCACCGCGTACTCACAGTTGCACGCAACAAAGACAAATATCCCCTGTATAGCCTGAACAGACTGTCGGGGAAAGTGCTATTAGCAAGCATCATGAAGGTTGGCACTGTGGCACACAAGGGGGTTGGTGGCCAACACCACATCTGACCGCCATTTTCACCCTAGTGACGATGGTTACACACTACTGCACCAGGTACTTATTGGAGGCTGAGTCGACCTAGAGGAGGCTCAGAAAAGGTTCAGATAATCGTCACTGGTGTTGGTGGCCATGAACAGGAATGGAACTCGGGTCGCTGGGTTCATAGCACAGTGCGCTAACCGCTACACCACCACTCCACCCAACAGCTGCAGACACGCACACACACAGACACTCACACACACACACAGACAGCCACTCACCGTGGAGGCAGTGAAGGAGCTCTGGCCACCGTGGCCTGGCGCCACATTGACGGACGCCGCTCCGGCCGCGTGCATGGGCGTCACGCAGCGCACTTGCTCGCCGGAGAGCCACGTTCCCTCCACTACCTGGTCTCCGAAAGCGCAGCGATAGCCCCCATCTGCGGACGCATTCAAGTTGCGGCCCTGCAACGAAAAAACACGGAAGCTATAAAACAATGAACCCTATGGGAGCCCTAGTCTGGCTCTATGATCCTCAGTGAGTAACATTGGGCCCTATGGGAGCCTTGGTCTAGCTCTGTGAGCCTCAGTGGTTAGTACTAAACCCTGTGGGAATCCTAGTCTGGCTCTGTGAGCCTCAGTGATTAAAACTGAACCCTATGGGATCCTTAGTCTGGCTCTGTGAGTCTCATTGATGAACACTGAACCCTATTGGAGCCTTAGTCTTACTCAATATAAACTAGAAACTTTTTTTTATTTTACTAGGTAAGGCTCACCAAGCTATGTAACTCTTTTTTCAGAAGCGACCTGAATATTACAAATGATAGCTCAAAGAAGTTGCCTATCATCGTGTGGAAATGTATAGCAGCCAAATACTCTAAACGCATGATTCTAAATATGGAGGGAAAAACCGGAGGACCCGGAGAAAAATCCACACAACCATGAGGAGAGAGAGAGAGAGAGAGAGGCAAATTTCAAGTATACAATAGGCATCAGGGTCGGGATCGAACCCACAGCCTCCTGTATATCAGGCGAGGTAGTTAACATCTCCTGTCCACCGTGGTGCCCACATAAATAGGGGTGCATTATTTATTGTCATCATCATTATCAGCTGTGGTCAATCCACTACTGGGAGAAATCCTCCACACACAGTGCAGGTCATGGGGGTTGTTTGCCTAGACGTACATGTGTGTACATACATTGAACTTGTTTCGCACAGCACGTAGCCAACCTTACTCATCAGAGGTGCGTGGGAAGTACAACAAACTAGAACACAAAAAGCAGTTCTAAAGAAATTAGTTTATATTCAGTATAGTGGTGTAGTGTATAGCAGTGTATAGTGTAGTGTACTATGTCGTATGCATGTATAACTTGCATGCCTGTCATCCCCTTATCAGTGCCTACCTTCTTACAGACCAATTCAGATCTCATTTGTCACCCCGTGCCCTTATAAATCTCAACTTTTATCCTACAAAGTCCTGTATTGAAACTTCTGTACGCCCTATGGACCTGGAAACTCAATTTCCCTGTATAAGAATACGGGGTAAACTATATGGGTTGACAGCTATGAACTTGTTATGCACCGCACGTAGCCAGCCGTGCTAATAGAAGGGTGCGTGTGAAAAACCTCCGTAGCAGGTACAGACCGTGATGAGCACCAACGTGCCGCCAACGTCGGGCCCAGTGCTCGGGATCACGTCCAGCACCGTGGGCACAGGCAGGCAATCGCTTCCATACAGACCCTCGGCACAGCGGTCGCAGAGCTTGCCTGCCCATTTCAGCTCACTGCACACGCATCGTCCTAACACAGATGAAAGCAGCGTTTTCTAATTGACACATCTTGGCGTAATTTTAATCTGTCCAACGAACGTCAGTCTTTTTATATACTGTGGTCCCTGGGTCCCATTGTTTCTATTAATGATAAGTTTACAATACCAGGTTGGGGCCGCCAATTTCGGCCAATCGAAGCGCTCCCTAAGTTGGACTTGGCAGACCTCAGGCAATCAGTGACCACCCCTTTTATGAGCGTTTTGAGAGCATCGAGTTTGCGGCCATGAATTCCAAAACATTGACTGCATCATAACCACTCCACTGCTGCTGCTGTCTGCACTCCGTTAAAGGAGGAATGGACGATGATCCACTCTTGCTTCTGAACAGACAATTGAGTGGATGACAACATCTAAAATTACATATTTAATCTGCTACTATTAATCCACATGAAAGATAACATCCTTGAAATTCAGTACCTCGTCAAATGTCTCACTCACCCGTGTTGAGGTCACAGTGTCCGTGAACGCAGAGAGGGCACTGCAGGCACGAGGCCCCCCAGAATCCATCCTGGCAAACAGAGCAGTCCGGTCCGGCAAAATATCTGTAACACAAGCACCTGCAAAAAAAACAACAAGCCCAAAGTGTGGACTCGCTTGATAATAGAGCTCTCTCTCTCTCTAAATCAATGGTCACCGTCCTGATTTTGACATACGCAAATAACGTGCACCATACTGCAATCCACAATCATACAAAAACTTAATTATAAGCAAGTGTAGTGGGTACAGATGGAGACTGAGGCTTCTCTTGGAGGCAACACGTTTATTACAGATAACCCTATAACAGAAAGGGGTATTGCCCCTTCACCAGGTAACATAAGGGGGTAGACCCCACGGGCTAGCTACCCTCAATACACGGGGTGGGCTATCGCAGACCGGACCCCAGCTTGGGTCCGAGTCATGTAGTCGGAGCTCCTCTTCCAGGCGACGACGTAGGTTTCTTCATCACGACAATAGCAGACCATGCCGCCCAGGGCTCCCGCTTATAACCTGTGTGGCAGGGCTCACTCCGCCCCTAGCCATGCCCACCTTCTCGAAACCCCAAGAAGGATCTTACCGAGGCACGTGATCACCCCAGGCCCCCCCTTTGGGAGGTCCCCGGGTCGGTACCTCCGGTCACGTGCCCTTCGGGTTCAATTAGAGTGCCATGGCCCCTTTTGAACACCGTATTGTGCCTCTCCCAGCCGGCTTCACACAGTGACATGCAGTGGCATCCAACGATGTCACTACATCACCCCCCCCCCTTCGTAGCTCACAGACGTCCCAGCTGCCAACTCCCCAATAGAAGTCAATTAGTCCTCAATAACAATTCAACAAAACTACGTGTGCCTCAACAGCAACCCCAACAATTAAATGCCCAAGTCCACCTATACAATATATACACTATGTACAAATGTATAGAAACAACCGGGGAAACGGTGGCATTGGCTGTGCACAGTTGAGTGGGAGAGGGTAGGAATACCATACGATGGCCAGATGACAATTCGATGCACCCCTGGTCAATTATAATTTTAACAGGCATTTTACCCAAGAAATCGGTCCCGATCAAGCATGGAACGGTAAAGAACGAAGAGACGAGAATCGGGCCCGTCAATTTAACATTACCAATGCGCATTTGAGCTGCAATTTGGCCAATGATGCCCAATGAACCCCCATTAGCGGCAAAGCACGGCACTTCAAAGGGGTGTAGGGAACGGCATTTTTTGGACAAAATGTTGTAAATAAGCTGAGCATCCTAAAATTGATCCTTTTGATGGAACCAATAATGACGGATGAAACTGGAGTCGTGGCAACAACCCTATGGGCCAGCTCCGACTACTGACCTGGTCGGAGTCGCCAGTCGGCCCGAACGCATTCCGCACCCCCCTTCACCAACACACAATGAACACGCGAACCAGCGCAATGAGATGTGCGAGGTGAACTCAGGGGCGGAGTGTGTGTGGTGCCGCGACTCGCCTTGGGTTGCCGCGAAGAATAGGATAGGCGGGTGGACGATGGCTGAGATCCGGAGAGGCATCGTCGTGGCGCCCGGCAATCCGATGACACGTGGCCTTGCAGGCTGCAGATATAGCAGGTGATGAGGCCCCGCTCCGGGCATGGTGACGTCCTTCCCCGTTGTTGAGAGCCGTCCCAATGCGGCCGGCCGTCCCTTCTCTTCCCCGGGTCGATGCGAAGGCCTGGGAAGGTTCCGACTCCCCCAGTGTACTGCGCGTCTCACCAGGCGCAGCACACGCCATGAGCCTCGTCTCCCACTGTAGAGCACAGGTCGTCGTCGTCAATGGTGTGGACAACGACACGAAGGTCCCGTGCCAACGCCAGCTTCTCAAGGACCAAAGCGTCGATTCCCTCTTGGTCCATCTGAGGGAAGGTGGCCTTCGCCAACGCCAACAGCGCGCTGTGGAAGGCGAGGGGGGTCTCGGCTTCCCACCGCCTCCGTGCAGCGAAGCGATGGCGCATGTTGGACGGCGGCCCGTAGATTGCTGCCATCTGTTGCAGCGCCTGCTGCAGTGTAGATCTGTCGGCCGTTGGGATGGTGAACAAGGCTGCCAGGGCATCATCGTCCAGGGCAGCAGGAAGCGCTCTCAGCGCCTCCGTCACTTGAAGGCCGCTCAGTCACCTCCAGAGGCCGAAAACTCCTTCAAAACGGGCAAGACGCTGCTGAAGAGACGGGACGCACAGCATCGATCACAAGCGCAGCTTCGCTTTTGGCGGGAATCCCGCCGCGCTTCGCCAACAAGATGGTGGCCACCTGCGCTGGTCACGCCGCAGAGGTTCCTGATTGGCGGGAATCTTGGGTGGGAACTGCGTGGGCCTCCAGTTGGCGGAGATTTTCGGTGGGAACCCCCACACTTTCGGTGGGAGTTTCAGAATTTTCCGCGGGAACTCTAGAAGCGGCGGCGGGAACTGCAGTCCCGCTCGGCTCCAACCCTTCCTCGTCCGCCGCGGGCTCCCCGTGGTGTATTTCATCCAGGATGGACGCCGCTGCATACAGAAACTCGACGAGGCGGGAGTGTACCACCTGAAGCGCCCTCCCCGACGGTGGTGAGCCGTCGAATGTCCGGACGGCATGCTGCTGGACCGGCGGCACCTCTCCTCCCTCCTCCGGGGCTGCCAACTTTGGGGGCTGTCGAGTCATCGTCCTCTTCATCTGGAGACCTGGTACGTAATTTTCGTCTAGTCTCCATACTATATAGTTAACTAAACAACTGTTTGGCCACTTCTGACACCAGTTGTAGTGGGTACAGATGGAGACTGAGGCTTCTCTTGGAGGCAACATGTTTATTACAGATAACCCTATAACACAAAGGGGTACTGCCCCTTCACCAGGTAACATAAGGGCGTAGACCCTACGGGCTAGCTACTCTCAATACACGGGGTGGGCTATCGCAGACCGGACCCCCAGACCCCCTTTTGGGGGGTCCCCGGGTTGGTACCTCCGGTCACGTGCCCTCTGGGTTCAACTAGCGTGCCATGGCACCTTTTGAACCCTGTACCGTGCCTCTCCCAGCCGGCTTCAAACAGTGACATGCAGTGACATCCAACGATGTCACTACACAAGGTAACATTTTTACCACTCTATTTTTGTTTGCAGAAATACTGCCAAGGCTGTGCGATCTCACGAATACTACGTGCACATTATTTGATGTCAATGACATGTGTCCTAATTAAAGGCAGTTTATTTTCGGGACAGGAAGTTGAAATGTAAAGGCCATTTGGTTAGCCCTAAGCATTATTCGTGCAGGTTTTAGTTTTTTACACAAATTATACACACCATGCAGGATTTTTTTTGTGCGTTCGTTTGTTGTCCTTCCCCCGCACCTCCGATTAGCACGGTTGGCTATGTACGGTGCCAAAAAAAGTTAAACGTACTTACACACATACATACATACAGAAAGACAACAATGCATGGCGAGATGAATGTGCGCAGTAGTTGTACACTACTGTACACGTAGTGTCCCTGTGCAGTATTTGTACACTACTACAGAAACAGAAATCACGTTTGCCTGAACCTTGCTGCCTCCTCCTTCTCACTGGAGGCTGGGAACACCACCACGTGGTGACCTGGGACCCACGATGAGCCGCTTGGGAGACGAGATGGAGATAAGGTGGAGACAGGGCAGAGGATTGAAAGGATGCCCTTGTGGTCTTCTTTAAGAAAGGGGACCACACAGACTGTAACAACGACAGGAGCATCTCCCTCCTCAGTGTGCCGGGAAAGGTTCTGGCAAGGATTATTCAACATTGCCTTGCCAGGTACGCCGAGGAGAGGTTTGCGGAGCCCCAATGTGGTATCAGGCAAGGCCGGTCATACACAGATGCCCTATTTTCTGACCATGTGCTACAGCAGAGGTGTAGGGAATTTCAACAGGCCCTACATCTATGCATTATTGACCTGGTCAAGGCCTAATATACCATCAATAGGCCTAGGCACTTAGTTGTTCTTCATGCTTTTGAAGTCCCTGACTTTCTGCTCACAATCGGGTTAAATTACGTGGCCGCGAGTTGGAGCTATTCCCTGTTCACCTTGTGGTGCGACAAGGATGTCCTCTGGTTCCCAGAGGACATCCTTGTTCATGAAGCATTCTATGGCTGCAACGGAGGATTCTCCATCTGGTAAGGATACAAGGGGGGGGCTGATCAATGCCTAGGTATGGTTCTCTACTGGTCAACTGTGATGCCGCCGCCACGAAGCCGTTCGGCAGGCACCAAATCCCCGACCTCGCCACCACCAAGCAACGGAGCCGACCCCGCGTCCCCCTCACCTCACCTCACATGAACACACCCGCACTCATTTCCCCCCCCCAATAGAGCTCCGAGGGGAGGTCGCCTGGCCGACCGGTTTTTATCCGAGAGACCCTTATCGGGATTAATTCTCACGGTTTCCGGCGATCAGGGAATTGGATGACCTCCCCCGTGCTACGTGGCACCGCGGCGCTGCGGCCGGCCTTAATATGGGGTGGTCGCGGCGTGGGGCATTCGGCCACCGCGGTTGAGGCGCATTTCCCCCCACACACACTCCCACGGGTCGACGGGGCAAGCAGGGGAGGCACGGGACAGCATGAATAGCGGGGTCACAGGGGCTGTTGCGCATAGTCATGGAGGGTTGGGATAATTGCGCTTGAGCGCGCAGGCCCCATTGTTAGGAAGGGTAAGGGAGTAATTAGGATGTACGCCGCCAACGTCGCTCACTGATTAGCATATCAACAGCGCCCGGGAACCGCCGTGCGCGGGCTTGGGGTGCACGAGCCCATTGTTCAGCGCAGCATCCCCTTTGAGGTAGGGAGGATAAATAGAGGAGCGCAGAGGGGAAATCGCTCTCTTCTCTCCAGCGCCAGGCGACAGGACGCTCTCCAGTCCAGCGACCCGATCGTCCGTGAGACGCAGCGAGGTACGCTGCGAGCACGGGATCAACAAACCGCCGTGGGCATCCAGCAGGAAGTAAGTAGGTGAATTAGAATCATAGCAGATAAATCGGGAATAGGTATAAAGGTATCAGCGTAGGCCAGCCTCGTCGACTCACTGATTTAACATTAAATTACCAGGTATCAGATAATAAATC